ACGTGACAAGGCGCTGGATCAAATGCAGGGATTATTATTATGTGCTGTTATTAAATTTTCAAGACTGAGGTGGATAGCTATTTGTTAGGTCAGGTGCAAGGCCGGGTAATTGGACTTGAGCTACAGATCAGCCATGATCGTATAGAATGGCGGAACAGGCTCGAGGGGCTGTTCCTATGTTCCTATGATTAAGAGCAGGAACGCTTACTAATTTCTCCCTTCCCTGCACAAAATGCAGTCACTGCACTTTACAGTATACGCTGTGAATCACCTACTTTCTCCTGGTGTCCTGGCCAACAATAAAATTGGTCACGCACTCCACGGCTGTTTATGGAACACTGCTGTGTGAAACTGGCTGCCGCGTTTCATCCCACAATAGCACAGTCAATCCACTTTACACTACATGGGGAGGACAGGTGTGCAGGGCTATGGGGAGAGTGTGGGGAGAGGGATTGATCTGGACAGCTCTTTTCAAAGAGCGGGCACAGACACAATGGGCCGAATGGCCTCCTTCCGTGCTGCATGATTCAATGATATCAGAAGCCAGGGTACCAGCACTGGGCCAGGCTGGCACAAGACAAGATAGAAAGGGACGAGACAAAGTGCCATCAATCGCTGGGACGATCAGACTTGCCTGCAACTTGTGCAACCGAGCAACAGAACGGATTGAAGCTCAGTGGGTTCGTTCGTTCCATCACAGAATGGTCAAACCAACCCTCTGTTCGGTCCTAAAGCTCTCACTCTCTCTATCTCCTGCTGTGACTATTTTTTTTTCAGGTCTGTGGAATAATTCGAGCGCTCTCCAGATGCAAAGCAGAGAATGTGTGGCTGTTGCTGATTCCCACAACGGACTAAGCAGCTGCAAGTTGGCCTGAGAGAAGCCGGGGAGAAAGAAATTCGCAAACAGCCAGCGCTCCTTGGCAGGATGTTGGCTGAAGGCATCGCTGAGCTGCAGCACTACACGAGTTTGCGGTCTGGGTTTGTGATCAGTGCCGCGCTGCGAAACGAGATGACTCAGGACTCCTTTCCCCCATAGAAATGGGGGACAAACATGGGGCAACTCTCAGCTCGCAGTCCAGCTTCAGCAACGCCGAGTTGTCAGAAGTGCCGGCCTTCGGAGGAGACGTTTACACCAAGGTTGTGTCTGTCTGCCTGCCCGACCTTAATAAAAGATCCCATGGCACTACTTGAAAAGAGAAGAGAGTTTCTCTCTCCTGATCGTCTGGTCAAACAATCCCCCCAAAATAAAATTGATTGTTCGTTTCACGGCTGTTTGCGAGGATGTCGCCGTGTGCAATTGGGCAGCCGGGCTTGCCTACAAACATACGAGACACTGCACTTTGCATTCAAATCCTGTGAAGCACTTCAGGACGTCCTGTTGATTTAAAAGCTGCTACACCAAACACAAGGATTGATTTTAAGGACCGTATACTGTGAACCCTTCCCACTCCCGCGACTCCTCCTTGCCCTCCACCCCTCCCCTGCTCAGATCAAAAAAAAATCCCTGACTGTCCAGTGCCTTGGGACGTCCTCCCGATGTGAAAGGCGCTTTACAAATGTAATTTGTTGCTGTTGAAGAGGCTGACTCCTGTGGGAGAATGATTTCACGTGTCTCCATTATATGAGACCGGGCGGTGAACATTGGCAGGTCTTAAGGAAAAGAGGGATGTGGGAGACAATAAGTTACATTGCTATACTCGCTCAATATCCAACCACACCCATTTGAGGTGGGTTTGGCTGAATGAGTCACTGGATAGTCATTGCCAGGAAAAACTAAATCCTGTCTGATCCGTTTTCCCTTCCCTGGCTTAAGATACACTGAGCCTTGATACAGGATCACCCTTGGCCGCAGCTGAGATCAGCAAAAAGCAGCGCAAACGGGAGATATGGCTGTTAAAATAGCTATTAGTCACAAATAGCCTGGCTCACTCTCGCCTCAGAGCCTGAAAGAAGGTTGTGGGTTCAGGCCCCATATTGGTCACCGTTTGCGGGGACGCTGCTGTACACGTTTGGCTGCCGTGTTTCACCCACACAATACACAGTCAAAACCACTTTACAGCAGATCCTGTGAAACGCTTTGAGACGTCTCGAAGACGTGATAAGGCGCTGTATCAAATGCAAGGAACATTTTTATTATTATTATTATTAAACTTTAACCCCCCACCCTCCCTGAACAAAAAAAATCGCCTCTTTTAAAATTGATTTAAAAACATGCCAGAAAATCCCATTGTCCCCGATTATAATTAGTGTCCAAGTCTGGTGTGTTTGTTTCACATTAACTCCCCACCACATAAATTACCTGGACTTAATAAACGACCCGTCTCGTTGCCTTTCTCCAGTGTTGTTCCTCTTCCTGGCCGCTGATCAAGTACAGCAGCTGCTGTGTGCAGATTAGAACCAGGGCCATTTAATATCCATTATCAGTTCAGCTGCAACATTCGTCAAATTTATGACCACTGAAACCTGATTTCTACCATCCCTCTTTCCCCCCCCCCCTCCAGGCACCAGAAACGCCCATTAATCTCAATGCTTGGCTTCATAGAGACTTTGCCACACTGTTTATTGTGACAATTACTGTCTCGGAGCAAGCCTTTAGCATTTATGTGATCGGAAGCCTGTAACTGATGCACAATACTCTGCTCGTCTCTCTCCGGAGTTGCTTGGACGACTCAAACAGGTCTCAGCCCGGCTCGGTTGGTAGCACTCTCGCATCTCGAGTCAGAAGGCTGTTGGGTTCAAGCTCCACCTTGGGACTTTCAATTCATTTCAGCGTTTGTTTACAAAGTCCTGTTACCCACCCCCATCACCCGCCAATTTTTGTTCCTACAATGGATTGTTATTTTCTGTTGCAGATGAGTCGAGTGTAAGTAACAATGCCCGATCCCAGTAACTTCCTCGTCACCAACTCCATCTATGTTACAAGAAGATGTCACACATGGCGATGGATCATTATCTGCTACGAAGATGACGGCGTGTGCACAAACACACACACCCCCATCGTCTGGTCGTCTAAATACAGTTAAATGCTTGCACTGAATACAATTGAGTGCTTCGAAATACAATGATCATCATTCTTCCACAAGTTTCAGTTGTTTGCTCAGTGCACTGTAGAAAAGAACACGGGGGTAAGAGGACTTTGTGAACACTCCTGTGCTGGGGACGTGCTCCATTTGAAGAGGTTCTAATCCTGGGCTGAGATGTTACACCAAGATCATCCTGGGACACCTACCTGGGCAGGTGGAGATTAAAGACCCCATGGCACTGTTCATAAAAGAGAAGGGAGTTTCTTTCTCCCGGTGACCTGGCCGACAATCTCCACCCCCCCACCCCCGATGAAATTGGGTCATTTGTTTCATGATTGTTTGTGGGCCATTGCTGTGTGCAAATTGGCTCCAGCATTCCACCTACAAAATACTCATTAAACTTCACCGTAAATCGTGCGATTTCAAATCAATATTTGAGACGTCCTCCTGAGACGAAAGGCGCTGTATCAAATGCAAGTTATTATCACAGTAATAAGTTGGTGGTGGTTCCGTTCAGACTCTGGGCATCAGAAGCGAAGCCAGGAAATTGACAGTGCTGTCAACCTACCTACGTGAACCTACAAGAAAATGAAGTACTCGTTTAGCAGGTGCATCCAAAATGTTTCAATAAATTTATTTTCAAACTGCAGAAAAAGTAATGGCAATAGAGTGGAATTCATTGCTATTTGGTGAGTGTCAAGGTTTTCAGACATTTCGTAACAGTTGCTCTAAAGCAGGTGGATTCAATACAATGCGTTCTCTGTGCAACAACCTTCAGCAGACATCGTACAAAGGAGAGGTTCATAGATCTCAATGAGTTCTGCGAAGAGCAATTCATTAACAGACATGAGGCCTTACCAGTAGGCCTAGACTTTATCAGTTCCAGGAGATAACACTGCCCTTCACCTCCCCGGCTCACGGCTAGTCAGTCACCTTCCACAAACAGGGTTAGTTGGAAGGCAGGATGGGATGGGATTTGATGGGGCCAGAAAGTTAAGGCTGATTGCATTGAATGTCAAACCGTACGTTCTGTTCTTACAATGAGAGGATTGTGGCTTGAGGAGTTAAACGCACTGATTTTTTTTTAACCAAACAAAAATAGCAAGGGAGTAAAACTTGGCTGAGTTTGAATCAGTTTATGCACATGTGGACACTGAGCTGGAAGGCATTGTTTGTCCAGCAATAAGCAAGACCTTGCCTATTCTGGAGCTCCACGTCTCCCTGTTAAAACCCACCCTCAATTCTCCATCGATGCGTGAAATAACGAAACGCGTCAACGGTGAAATTACTGATCGTGTCGACAGAATATTTCCAACCATACTGAATTTTTTTTTAATATACACACACCCTGAAGGTTTTTATCCCAGTAAACCTAACCAACCTCCTGGAAGCATAGCTGCACCCAGAGCTCGAGGCGAAGGGAGGCTGATCTAGCCACAAAATACAGTCACTACACTTTACAGTGTATCCTGTGAAGCACTTTGAGACGTCCTCCCAACCTGAAAGTTGCTCTATCGAATGCAAGGATTATTTATCTTTGTTTCTCCCTCTCCCTCCCTCCTTCACCACCACCACCAATCCTACTGGTAAGTCAATGCCAGGGACCATTGTTCCCACCTTTATAGTTTGCGTAGTAGAGATAAGTTTATCTGGTGAAGTTGGCAACTTGGTTGCTTGCTGCATTGGCACAAATACAGTTTGATCACAAAAAAACAGGAAGTTCGAATGTATGAGAGAGAAATTAAATCACACTGAAGTTGGTGCACAGCACACAAATATTTCTGACCAGAGGCAGAAAACCCTGCTTTGAAGGTTAAGTACTATATATGTACTGATATCCAGTGCAGTCCTTGCACACATCTGAATACACGCAACATAAAAATAGTTTCCTTCTTGTTCTAAAACCACCAGAGAGTGCAAATCAATACAAACATACCCTCAACCCAAGTTCCTGAGAGCTCAAATAAAAAGCCATGCTACAAATAAAAAGAAAATTTATACAAAAGGAAACAAAAAAAAATCAAGATTACACACCACAAGCAAAGTTCCTTACACCTTTTCGGATTCAAGTCAGCCCTCCTTCCCCTCTCCCACAAAACCCCCTGAATCCACAGAGAATCTCCAAAATTTTAAACAGCGGATTTCTGTTTGGGAAAAACAATTCCAAACTCTTTTCATGCCCCTCACCCCCCCCCCCCCACCTCTCTCACCCATCCTTTCCCTGGCTCCCAACCAAAAAGCTAGAATGGAAATATACAAAGCCCCTTTGTGAATGTACAAGGTCCACCCAGGTGCGAGCTAAGCAAGATGCTTGCAATAATTTAGGAAGAAATTCGGCATTTTTCATAGTTTAATTGTTATTCCAACTGACAAGGTCCAGCTTACGCTGCACTCTACCGTTCCATCCAATACTATGCATGGACATTGAATGCTATTTCGGAGTTCTTAGCTTTTTACACACTTTAAAAGGAACTTTTTGCAACTGCTCACAAACCAAAATGTTTTCTATTTATAGAAGGTACCACAGAACTCTATTTTAAAAAAATATTTGAAATGTAAAATATCAATAGTATCCCTCTTTTTTTTTTGAGTCTATCTGAAATGTAACCTAAACTTCTCGAAGCGGTGAAATGCATACAGCTTGGCAGATATAGCTGGTGTCCCTTTCATGTTAGGGACATGACATGTCAAGTGACTGCCAGGATGGTCGAAGGTGAACTGGATTGACCTTGGTCTTCTTTTGGTTAGCATGTTCCCCTGTTCTTACAGCTAGTCGGTTACAAACTTTAATTAATTCCCGAGAGGCACGTAGCTTGAAACTAGAATGATGAGCGAATGATTGCCCTGAGCCAACTAAAAGTGGATGGCAATATTGGTGGGAAAAGCAAAACAAAAGGAACAAGGAAAACTTTTTTTTGAAAAAACCGTATTTTGTAAATTATCCTCTTCTCCGGTCCACCTGGCCTGACACTTCTTCCGTAGCCAAGAGATGGACAATTCTCCCCACCCCCCCCACTCCTCCTGGCACGACCCTCTTGTAACTAGCTTGCAGAACAGTCCCACGTAAAGAGAAAGCTACTGCAGCCTTCACTCAGCAGAGAACAGATTGGGAACTAAGTTTGGAATTAAACTCAATTTCGCTCTGTTGGGTGACTCTTGAGCATTAGTGCTTTGATTCTCAGTGCTGCTTAGCCCGTGCAGGTGGACCTGGACACTAACTGCTTTGAGTGCACTCATCGATCCAAATATTTAGCTACAGCCGAGAGCAAGTAACACAAGTACCCCAGAGTTTTACTGCAGCAACGCCACCAGTACAGATGTGCAAAAGCAATGGGAGCTTTCTGTGTCCACCTGGTCACACAGCCATCGGCAATCTATCACTTACAGATGCCTTAGTGAAGCTACCGTGGTTTAATTAAAGTCAGGGTGAGTGGGTGGAATGAGCTCGGATAAACCTTTACAGCTTTTATCAGACAGGCAATTATGAATTCTTTTTAACTTAAGAAAGTTGGACATTTGCTGTTGTAATCCATTGGACCAACAAAAGGAATAAAGCAGTTTTTAAACCAGTGCAGACCTTGTAAACAGGAACAAATCACTGTAGCACCTTTTCTCCCTCCTCCTTAGAACATTGTATCACTGGGTGAAAACCTGACGACTCCTGTGAAACAAACATTGCTTCCCCCCACCCCGCTTCACAAAACCTTGAGCCCCTCCGCTGTTTAAACAGCCAAGTGCACACCAGCTCCATCCAATTTGTTTCAATACACCGCCTGTTCATTAATCCCCCTAAAAAAAATCATTCATATCAATGCCTAAGCGTAGACATGGCACAACAAAGGAAGGGCATGTTAGAAAGTAAGAGAGTATGTGGGTGAATCACCATTAATCTGCCTATAGTACCATTTTCGTTTAAGATTCTCCATTCAAGTTTTACCAGTGGACTCGTGGGCTTTCTAAAACACTGTTAATGGTAAACCATTAGCTACCATTTGTGTAGACTTCACATCGAGGCTGTTTTTGTTTGTCTTCCTCCCTCTACCCCTTTCCCTCCCTCCTCTTATCATCAAATAATTCTTCAAAGCATCCCTTAACCTGGGCTAAAAGGCAACAGAAACCACCTATATTTCTTTCAGCTGATGGCTTCGGGCTGTCAGCTACGTGGGCATTTGATTCTGTACGTCAGAATTATTGCAGGAGTTCTTTTTTAAAAAAAAGGAAACGTGCATCTTATTAACAAAAAAATCTTATTGCAATTTAAGCCTTTAAACTTCGGTAACCATTTCTCTTCCTTTCTGTTTTTTTTAATATACCCTCATCTCTCCCCCACCCCCCCTTCCCTCCCCCCCCCCCCATTTGTGAGAACACGGGGACCAGAAACAGACTGGTTTTGAACAGATCGCCCTCCATGCTGTGACATAGCTCCTCATCCACAAGCACTATACGTACAAAGTGTATCTCTCATAATCGACAGAGACAAAACAAGGTGGGAATGAAAACCCCAAAGGCAACTAAAATTGGAAACATTAGGCTGCTGTTGTCGGAAGCGTAAGGGTCTGGCGTGCGAGGTCCTGACTTCACCTTCTTTTTGCTGGGTGGCTTCTTCTCGCTACCTTCTTCATAATCCTCCTCTTCCTCTTCTTCCTCTTTTTTCTCTAGACCCGGGTGAGGCAGAAGTTTGGGAAACTCTGAAAGCAAATAACACAATTCCCCCGGATAAACGTGGGTCGTTCGCTTGATGTTGTGTGCAAATTCACTGCCGCGGCTCCTATAAAAATAGTCACTACACTTCACAGAGAAAATACTGTGAGATATTTCGACAGAGTGATAAGGGCTACATCAAATGCAACGATTATTTACTGTGAGATGCCCTCCTGACACAAAAGGCGCTATATCAAATGCAAGAATTTGGAGATTAGTAACAATAACGATCCAAGGCGAGGTAATCATTACCAGATAACTGGTTGCGATAGGAAATGTTTGTAACCTGCTATGTTAAAGACTTGGCTTCCACAGCGTTTATGGTGCTTTCATTTCCTCTGGGTCGGTCTGCAAAATGACATTTTAATCTAGGGGAATCCCGGATTTGAGACATCTCTCAGTTAAAATGCCAGCAATAGTTTTTGACACGGTCCATTAAAAAAATCCTAACCTTCTGCATGTGGGCTTGGTTCTCTAGTCCTTTTGTCCATACCGTTTTTACTAGTGCAGCGTTGAGTCAATGAAAAACAGGTGCAGTGCAACCCATTTCCATAAAGCTGCTAAGCATAAAGGGCACTCCTAATTATTACCAGTTGCTTGCATAACACTCACTGTTCCCAAACCATTATTTAGCTCTATCTCTCCCGAGTTTCTAGACGCCAACTCATTGAACCCAGCATTTTTGAATTGAACACTGAGGATATATTCCTCACCCACTTACAGGACTCTGCTAAAGTTCCTGTACCTCAGTGAATGATCATTGACCCTACACAATATGACTGAATGCACAAGCCAAACTGGAATTTACATCCATAAATCTTATGGATGGTGGGACAGCAGGTGGTCTAAGCTGTGAAGAAAGCTGGATTTTATAATACAATATAAAATTACATTTGTATAACGCCCTTCATGTCGGGAGGACAGACCCAAGGCACTGGATAGTCAGGGATTTGGACCCGAGGGTGTTTGGGATAGTGGGGGTTGGGATAAGGGAAAGTGGGGGGCAGGGAGGGTAGCCGAAGGCACAGTCGAAGAGGAGGGTCTCGAGATAAGTAGGAGCATGGAATATAAAACCAAAGAGGTGATGCAGAACTTAAGTTAAAGTATTTGTTAGACCTCAGTTACACCACTGTCAAGTTTTGGAAAGGATGGCAGGGCCATAGAGAGTATAGAGGAGATTAACTAGGATGACACCAGGGATGAGTGTGTTAGTTCACCCCTGAGTAAAGATGACAGGAAGAAGGTTGATAGAGATTCTTTAAAATAATGAGGGATCTTGAAAGAGTCGACGGGGAGAAATTATTTCACTGGTGGGCGAGTTGGTGACTAGAGGGCATCAATTTAAGATAATTAGCAAAGCACCAAAAGGGGGAACAGGATAGTGAGTAGGAGGAATAACTTGGATAAGCTTTTGCCGAACCTTTTAAAAATAACTTTTTTTTAAAATGGGAGACTTTAGGAAACCCGATTCGCCTTAAAACACCATCATTTTCCAAAAGGGCACTAAAGGCTTTAAAGCGTTAAAGCTTTTGCTCTGTTTAGTCTCTGACTAGATGCATACGTCAAGTCACCGCTCACGATATTGAGGAGGGAAGAAACACATCCGGCTTACAAAGCCAGTAGGCTGGAAACTTCTGGTGCAGAGAGCATCTGGACAATGAATTACTTGGGACTCGTCTATTACCACACAAAATTTGACTAGCTCCCAACCAGCTTCCTGTACGGCAATACACGAACAATACGACACTGGGGGAAAAAAAAGTTATACATGCCGGCTGAGCGGTCATAAGGGAGTGTTTATCCGAGCTCTAACCGTTTATGAGAATTTCACTGAATAATCCATTTGACTGGCGAAGGAGCCAGTTGCAAGTTTGAGACTCTGCCAACATACACAAAGGAAGCAGTTGAGTTTCAATGCCCCTCGGGATCACAAATAAGACTGTCGTTTTGGTTCATTGTGAAATGCAACCACTGAGCAGTTGTAATATTTAAGGCTTAGAAATCTGAACCATTTCTTCAAGATTGGGTTTCAGGAGATCAGAGGGTAATGAATGTAAATGAGGACCTCAGCTACTGTCTACTCAGCTACTAACAGTGAACTCCTCCACATCAAGTAAGTGACCTTGAGTCTAGCTTAAAAAAACGGTAAAGTAACTAGATTACCTGCCAGATAAAACTATGTTCTAGTGCAAAGTCTATGTCCAGTATTGCAAGGGATGGGTTATTTAATTATTAGCTAAACTTCTAGTATATCTCTTAACTGTAGCACAACAATCAATAATAAATGTGCCCCCAAGTAAGTAAATTAAGTGTAATGGATATTTGCTACCATTTCATTAAACATTGTCTCCTGACTGTGGTGTTAACGATCCAATATAATATTTCATCAGGCAGGTCCAATTGAAAATCTAATGTACATTATTAACAAAATGTGCCAACAAGTGGCATCGTTTCAAACAGTTAACTTACCATCCACTAATCCCTTCATGATGCACACAGCGCAGACTTTAGGGTTGTCATAGTAACCCTAGAAAGCAGAGAAACAAAGAGGAAAATGTTTAGTGTTTCAGATTGTCAATAAAACCTATTTGATTCCATCCCCCTATCTCGCTCATTTCTATTCCAAACCATTACTACATGACCAAGACAGAAAGGTAAATCATCTTGTTTGGAAATTACTCTAGGGAAGCCTTTCAAAATTTATACAACTTAGTTCCTGTATGATAATAATCCTTACATTTGATATAGCGCCTTTTCACATTGGGAGAACGTCCCACAGAATAAAGTGCTGTATTTTTTCTGTAGGCGAATGCAGCAGCCAATCTGCAGAATCCTGTCCCACAAACTGTCATGAAGTCAACCACTTTTTTTAAAAAAACTGGGGATCGATTGGCCAGGACCCAGAAGAATCACTCACTTCTCTTTTCGAACAGTGCCGCGACATCTTTAATATCTACCTGAACAAACAGGCAGGACCTCAGTTCAATATCTCATCTGAAGGACGACACCTCCCCGGTACTGCATTGGAATGTTGGCCTAGAATATGAGCTCGACATGAGGCTTAAACCCACAAGCTTCTGACTCAGAGCCAGGCTGACGACCAGGCCAGTTGACACGCGATACTTTGCGAATGCGATGGGTTTCCATATGCACCAGATACCCAGCTGACCCTTCCAAAAAAAACCTAATAATTTACAGTAGATCGTAAAGTACTCACTACTGGATCATAAACTATTACAGATGACATTAAAGTATATTATGCAGGGTATCTTTGCAAGTGCAATAATATTTAACGGAAGCTTTATTACCCAGCAATGTCTATTTAACCTTCAAAACGTGTACAAGACTTTGTCCTTTGGGCAGGTTTATCTTAACTCTATACAGATCAATTTTGTTACTCAATCCACGACTGTTTGTGGGACACCACTGTGTGCAATTGGCTGCTGCTTTTCGCCCACGAAATCTAAATAACTTTACAGTTTATTCTGTGAAACGCTTTGAGACGTCTCGACGACATGATAAGGCACTATATCAAATGCAGGGATTATTATTATGCCCATAAGGTTGGAGGTTCAATTAATTAAGCTCTTAAACTACCAAGTTCTCCGAGCAACAGAAAAATCAAGGACTGATACTCATACGGCAGTTCCGGATGTAACCGGCGATCTAAGTGGGGTCAGCATCATGGTCCTGAGAAAATAAGCAGCAGCCAGAAGGCACATGAGATGTAATCCGTTGGTAACATGGGGAAGTAGAGCTGCTGGATGCAGCTGGTTTTACATTAAAGCCAGTGTTTTGAGAAATATTAATTAATATTGCATTATTTTTAACCTAGTGACTGGTCGTGGGAATAGCAGTGATCCAAACAGAAGTGTTCGGAGTAGATTAATATAATAATAATAATGATTGCATATCGTCTTATCACGTCGTTCAGATGTCTCAAATTGCTTCACAGTATATACTGTAAAGTTGATTGACTGCGTATTTTGTTGGCGAACGTGGGAACCAAGTTTTGCGCACAGCCACGTTCCACAAAGAGGCATGGAATAAGTCACCAATTTTATTTTCCCCATAAAGTCACCAATTTTATTAGGGGAAAATAAAATTGGTGATAAACAGCGAAAGCTAAGAGACACTTAGGCTGAGAGAAATCCAGTGTATGGCACAGAGGCAGAGAATGGCGTAAAGGGCAGAACAGTCCAAACAACGGGAAAGCTTGCCAGGCAGTGATATCAATGGCAAGACTCCAGCAGTTACCCCAACCTACACTCTGGGGTCCCCAAGTCTTGGCCTTTGCCAACTTGCACCTAAATACTTTCCAGAATTAGGTAAGCAGGATGTATCTCTTCAGGGAGAGTGTGTGCATCCCATTTTCCAACAATCTATCTCTGAAATTTCCATATGTAGGTGGGATGCATGGAATTCTCAGTTTGGTTTGGAGACTCTTAAGCACGATGATGGGTTTCCTCATGTGTCAGACACCCGGATGACCAAAAATAAATAGTATCAGCGACACATGGAATAAAAAAAAATCCTAATCCATTTCAATAACAGAAGTTTATCATACATGATATGAATATTACGGGCAACATTAGTGACTTTGACCGAGAAGCTAATATGTTTTCTTAACAGTATAAAGGCCAAGTGTACGGAGTACTATTATTAATAAGTTACGAGGGCGAGGTGAATAAACAAGGTGCACGATCAAAAAACAAAAAACTTTGTTTTATAGTTAAAAAGATTCTGAAATATAACCAGTTTCCCTCCCCTCCCTTCCTGCCTGTCTCTGTCGTTGCCAGACATCAAAATGACCCACTATGCGTAAGATGCCAAATAACTATCAGCACCTGTGACACTGAATGCTAGGATGATTCACTCTGCTGTAGGGCGGGGAGGGGGGGTGGACAGTTAGAGTGTCGAAAGAAGGGGAACAGAGCAGAGCTAACGAGATTCCACAAACAAGTGTTGTGTAGCCCTCCTTTGAATTTACGGCAGTAAATCTCCGCATTTATTTTGCCAACTTAAAACAAATGCCATTTCGCTGAGGTACACAAGCCTATTTGTATCTCAAGTTCAAAGCAGTGTCAAAAATAACCACACTGTAATGAAAGGTCTATCTATGGCGAGAGCTGTTTACAGTATCGTGTTCACACGGAGCAGCTGGCCTTCGGTGAAAAAAAGCAAAAGGCTGGGAATACACAGAGCGAAAGCTATCTTCAAAGTCTCATCTCAGGGTTGGAATAAATGTTATAGGATCAAGGAGGTCAAGTGAGGCAGAAAACTAGATCTTAAGTTAGACCTTGAAATCCACTGACCCTTCCTGCAATACCGAGCTCTGGCTTATGAACAGATGGGCAGCTAGAAAGAAGATAATCCTAACTTGCCACTTCAACTCTTCCTCACTCTCCCACTTTTATCTTTACAGTGCAAGCTCAGCGCAAACAGAATATCTCATCTCCCTCACTATTTATCGCACTGGCTGGAACACTGAACATTTCGCCCACAAAATTGGGTCAATCCACTTTATAATGCATTCTGCGAAGCGCTTTGAGACGTCTCATAGGCCTGAAAAGGCACTATATCAAATGCTGGGATTATTATTATTAACTACTTCGAACCTTAGCTCTCTCACCTATTTCCCGCCCCAGGTTCATAAAGCAATTCTTTTTATACCCAAGGTAAATTTTAACGAGATTTGCATGCACTTTCTGCTCCCCTTCTCACTGCCTTAAAGCTTTAATTACCAACACCTGCATATCTAACCCAATCCATCCAGCAATCTATCGGAGTGACAGCCTCGACCATATGGGTTTAAATTCCCGACGTGGGGCTTGAACCCACAACCTTCCGACTCAGAATCGAGAGTGCAATGGACAGAGCCAGGCAGACACCAAATTTAGACCTGGTCCAAATAAAGAAGAGATCTTTACTGATCTGGCGGTCTGAAAGAATTCACTCAATTGTGAGGTCCGCTTACTTTGACAAATTCTACGAGTAGTTTCCCATTAAACGTCGACACTTCTCCTTGGACGCTCAGCTTCCCTTTTCTGACGATGAAGGGTACAAGTTCATCATGTGCTGTGCTGTGCCCCACTTTCTCAAAAATATCCAGATCTTTCACTACTACGTGCTGCCCGTTCAGTCTCACATCGAAGACCTAAGAGGAGGATGAGAGAGAGAGAGAAAAAAAAAAAGAGAAAAATATTAACCTGCACAGAACCAAAACCTCATTTCGAGTTACAACAACAATATCCATTTATTTCGCCCACAAAATGTACAGTTCAATTCACTTTACAGTCTATTCTGTGAAGCGCTTTGAGACGTCTCGAAGACGTGATAAGGTGTTATATCAAATGCAAGGATTATTATTATTATATAGCCCTCTTAATGCAGGCCAGCCTCTCGGAGCACTTAGCAGTCGCCTGAACCGAGCGGGGGGAGGTGACTATAAACCCGGTCGAAGGGAGAAAGGTGATCGTGGATCAATTAAACGGCAGATTTGCAACAGCGAGTAACTACAAAGTTCTTATTTGACAACAGTTTTGGCTGTGGACTCCTAGAATGGTAAGACTATAAAGCTGTTGGGGCTTTTGCTTAGCTTAACAATGTGGTTCTTTTGGGAGGAAGCAGATCAAGACTGGGCTCAGAGGATTCAGCTGGGGTCTCACTCCTTATCTGTACAGCACTTATGATTAAGATTCAGCTGCACAGCAACAAATAAATAAACGCATAAAACCCAATTTTACAGCTTGTCACACACCCATAAAAATTGGGCTGCTTCACATTGTGGTTGGAATCGACAGAAATGAAAATGTTAGACTTGGGTTAAGAATCGTAGCAGTTTACAGCGCAGAGGGAGGCTATTCGGCCCATTGAGTCTGCACTGACTCTCAGAGCAAGGTCAAACCCACTGCCAAATCCCATACCTCTTCAAGCCTCTATCTTTCATATTCCTGTCTACAACAACTTATATTAGTAAAACTCACATAAGTCTTATCTTTAGAAATCGTATAATCGCCTAAATGGTACATGTAGCCGAGTCTCATTCAGTTTCCTATCAAAACCACTTAGAGTTCCTTGCACTACTCGTATTAATAATCTCCTAACTTGTAACACCGCTTCCCTACCCTCCATTACTCTGCCACTTACCGGCTGCATTCATTCACGGAAACGTAGTCTTGACCCATCTCTGCATGCACACTTACCGGCTGCCTTGAATTACGCATGCGCAGTGTAGATTATTGTTTAAATCGGATTTTATATGAGTTACGCAAGTTTGCCTGCAACTCAGACTTTGCGTCAGTCATATTAAATGTTATTGTCCCAAGTGATACAACTTATGTGAGTTTTACTTACTTCCCTTTTAAAACCTCTGCCTTGCCACGTTACTTGCCAGGGAGTTCCATGTCCCAACAACTCTCTGTGTGTAAAGAATTTCTCCTGAACTCTCCTTCTAGTGACTATTTTATAATCTACGCCCTCTAATCACCAACAGCGGAAATAGCTTCTACTATTTACTCTATCAAAACCCCTCCTAATTGCGTACACTGTTTAAATGTTAACTGCCCATCAAATATCGTTATCTAACAAACTGTACTTTATGTATAGAGATTTATCACATGCACACACGCATACCAGTTAGTTTCCCCCAAAACTAGATAACTTGACATAAATTTATAGATTTCATCTTATCCAAACTAAATCTCCTTAATACCAGTGCTATCACTGGTATTATCAAATGCAAGGATTATTATTATCACTGGTTAGCAAATCTGTTATTTTTTTAATCACTATCATGTATGTAGAGTGTTAGGTCAAACCTCTTTTAAACCCTCGGATGCATACTCTTTTGGAACAAGATACATTCAACTGCATCTTAACAACTGTGTTCCATTCCAGATCTAGAAGCAGTTGTACCTCAGGGGCTCAGTTAGAGGAAGCTGTTTGGAAATGGTTGTGTATATTTATAGGATTACTGGGAGTTAGTCCGCTAGAACCAGCGGAGTTGCGAGTTTGTTTTTAAAGTTGGACTGACATTTTGAACCATTTTATTCCGATTACTTGATACTTGGAAGTGCCTGTTGAATGCAGACACAGTTGTGGTGTGGAAGTGAGCCACAGTTTGTGCTGAGTTGGTGGGTTTTCAGACGGGCTAGCAGCTGAGGCATTAGTATTGGCCTCCATTTCGCTGTACTGGGAGATTCAGGGCTCAGCCGCTACACCCCAAAACTCTGGAACACTCTTCCTCTATCCCTCTACCTTGCCCCTTCCTTCCCCATCTTCAGGTCATGCCTGAAGACCTTCCTATTCAGCTGTGCCTATGGTCACCAGCCCCCACTCCTCCTGGCTTGGTTTTGTGCTCCGCCACCATCAAGCCCTCTGGGACGCTGCCCTGCGAGAGTGGCGCTATATAAATGCAAGTTGTCGTTGCTATGTGGGGAAGAGGAAATCGGGATTTGAACCAGGCTCCAGCTCTATTCACACCACCATCAGGGCCTCCCTAATTTTGTCTCAGTATTGCTGAAGAGTTGGAGTGCAACCATCTTGTGATCATATGGAAAAAGCTGCAGCAAAACTGGATTGTCTGCTGCATGTCAACAGTCCGTTCAATTCTGAAGCTGACTTCAACAGGGCTCAGAATAGAATCAATACAATCGAAATTAGATAATAATAAGCCTTGCATTTGTGCATTTGATATGCGCCTTATCTTGTCTTCAAGATGTCTCAAAGCGCTTCTCAGAATATACTGTAAGGTGAATTGATTGTATACTTTGTGGGTAAAACGCGGCAGCCAATTGTGTACAGCAGTGTCCCACAAACAGTCATAATAATAATAATAATAATCCTGGCATTTGATATAGCGCTTTTCACGTCGGGAGGACGTCCCAAAGCGCTTCACAGAACACACTGTAAAGTGAATTGACTGTATATTTGTGGGCGAACGCGGCAGCCAATTGCGCACAGCAATGTCCCACAAACAGTCGTAGATTGAAAATGACCAATTTAATTATTGTTTTTGGTTTTTTGGAGGGATTATTATTAGGCTCTGTGTGGAGTAAGGAAACTTGCCCAAGGTTTCGCCCTCTGCCTGGAATTGAACTCAGGTCTCTCACTTGCAAAGCGAGTGCTCTAACCACTGAGCTACAGGACTCCAGCATATTTGGAACATATATTAGTTAGGACAATTTTTTGTACAGTATTTCTTGAGATTGATTGTAAAACGCAGATCAATGGAATATCTAGCGTTCTCAATCTATTATGTAGGTTTACACTCACTTAAAGAGATACAAAAATCGACTTCTCTGATGAACAATATCACTGGAGACTTTCACAAACCACGGATCATTTATTTGAAGATTCTTGGACTATTGGATAACCTAATATGAAATAGATACGATTGTAGTTTGGAAGCGAAACACTAGGAAATTCAGTGCTAATTATGTAGCAGCAATCAACATTGATAAAGTGTTTTTCAATGTATGGAGATCCATAGTTGAGGTTGATGTATAATATTATATTTTTAAGAGGTTATGAGGAGCAATCAGCATCCACTGATGTTGACTGGTAACATAACAGGCATTCAGCTCCTGGAAGGGAAGCATGCAATATATATTGAATACTGAAATAGACAAATGGAATCAATGGCGCAAAAAACAGGGCAGTGCATACAGCCTCATCATGTCGTCGAGACGTCTCAAAGTACTTCACAGGATGTATTTTAAAGTGCATGGACCGTGTAATTTTGTGATTTGAGCACAGCAATGTCCCACAAACAGCCATGGGAGTGAATGACCAATTTTATTTGGAGGATTTGTTGGCCAATATCACAGAATTCACTGTAAAGTGACTTGACTGTATATTTTCTGGGCAAGACAAAATTACACTAGATCATTTAGATGGGTGGGTTAAGTTTATAAAAATGTAGATATTTTAGTAAAATCTAACCATGATTGTGTTTTTTTTAAAACAAAGGTAGGTAGGGACATAATAATAATAATAATCCTTGCATTTGATATAGCGCTTTTCACGTCGGGAGGACGTCCCAAAGCGTTTCACAGAACACACTGTAAAGTGAATTGACTGTATATTTGTGGGCGAACGCGGCAGCCAATTGCGCACAACAATGTCCCACAAACAGCCGTAGATTGAAAATGACCAATTTATTATTGTTTTGGGTTTTGGAGGGATTATTATTAGGCTCTGTGTGGAGTAAGGAAACTTGCCCAAGGTTTCGCCCTCTGCCTGGAATTGAACTCAGGTCTCTCACTTGCAAAGCGAGTGCTCTAACCACTGAGCTACAGGACTCCACAACTCCAGGACACCAGGACATGTGAAAAGGGGAGGGCAAAATACATCTGAAAACGGGGGTAATAATCCCTCCTCCTCCAAAAACATTTTTTTGGTCACTCAATCCACGACTGTATGTGGCTGCTGCATTTCGCCCACAAAATAGTCAATCCAATTTACAGTATATTTGCTTTGAGACCACAACAATGTGATCAAGTGAAATCCAAAAACACAAGGTTTATTATTATGATTATTATCTCAAACCCCAAAGAACATTGGCGAAAAAAAAAGCAGGGCAGTGCAATGACACTGTGGAGGAGCCTCGATGTGCTAAAAAGAAAATTGGCGCTGAAAAAGAATGGATGCAGAGGAGCATTCTCAAATCGACTTAATAGACAAATCAATCTAAGAGCTAAAAATCCTAAGAATCCACAAAACAAAAAACAGGCAGATTGCATTCTAAATCCAGTAACAGCATTAATAAATGCAACATTCTGCTTGGCTTAACCACTCTGTCTTTTTTTAAAACTTCAAACCGCTCTAATTTTCCCCTGGTACAGTGCAGAGGGGGAGCTGCCCACGGTTGCTTAACTGCACCTCAATCATACACAGTGAATCAATATTTATTTAACATTGGACTTTGGGATCACACTGGAATATGTGAGACATCAACATTGAAAAATAGAGGTTTATTGTGCTCCTTTGATACTGTAGTGAACAATTAATTTGCACAAACACAACACATATAGTTACTGTACAAGGTGTGCATTCTATTCTTTAGCATCAGTGCACCTTTTGTATTATGACAATTTGCCGCCCAATTCCAATTTGAGGCAATTAGACACAGTTTCAGAAGGTAGGGGCTAGTAACTGTTTTCCAAGCTTTATTTTGAAAGTCACTGGAGGTATTACATAAAGTGGCAATGTCCTGATGGGCAAAGACCTCATGTTGGGCTGTTTAGGGGGAAACGGTTTGTAAAATTGAGCAAACGTGCAAAAGTGGAAACAGAAAGGACCCAGTTTTGTGCTCTTCTCTTACAAACTGCCTGCAAGGAATTAGCTCAGCATTTGTAAAAACATCTCCAAAATATCCCTCGCTTTCTCCTCAAACCTACAATTTGCAGTACAAACAGTGCAAGAACATCAGCCCTTGGGCTGCTTGCAGTCTCTGGACACATCTGTGTACTGCTAATAAACAAGAGGTTCCTGCAGAATTCTCTCATCAGTGCCTTTGCTGTCTGGGAAACACAAAGACATCCGCTATTTGTCCTACAGCCGACAGACTGCTTTAGACTGCAGAAATAGGAAAGGTTGGGGATGATTTCTCGCGCCTTGCGTAAGATACAGAACTGATAAGGGGAAGTAAAGTCAAGAGGAAGTAATTTTTGTTGAAAGTACTCCCCCATTTTATTTTACTACTCTTAATATTCTGAGCAAAACTCACTGTTGTGCACAATTGGCTGCTGCGTTTCACCCACAAAATATACGGTCAATTCAATTTACAATAATGTATATTGCGTGAAGAGCTTGGAGTCGTCTCAACGACATAAGGAGCTAAATTATATAATATTATTATTATTGTGAGATTTTATTAAAATGGTTATGTTTATATCACGGCTCTGCTTCCCGCTAGTCCACACTTGTGACAAGAATTAGATCTGTGACTTCCTGTGGAAAAATAACACTTTTAAAGGGATGAATTAAACACCAAATTATATTTGTATAGCACCTTTCACGTTGGGAGGACGTCCGGAGGTGTTGGAACAGTCAGGTACTTGGACCCGAGCTGTGGGTTGGGATCAGGAGGGGTGGAGGGCAGAGAGGATAGGGGTAGGAGGGGGACTGAAGGTGCAGTCGAAGAGGAGGGTCTTGAGACAGTTAGTCAAATTCATTAATGAATTACATGACTACCTGCTCTACTGTATCAAAAACAGATATCGCTGGGAACACTCAGCAGGTCAGGCAGTATCTATGGAGAAAGGAACGTTTCAGGTCGATGACTAATCTCAGAACATTTCAGGCCATCCACCCGAACTCACTTTCCTCGCTCCATAGATATTGCCTGACCTGCCAAGTGTTCCCAGCGACATCTGTTTTTATTTCAGATTTCCAGCATCTGCAGTATTTTGCCTTTTGCTTTACTGTATCGTTTATTCCAATCCAAGCCAAATCATAATCTACACAACGATTACCTGACCGCTAAGGTTAAAAATTCCAGGATGTTTACTCCCAGCTTCAAAATCTCTAACTGGATGCAGATTTGAATTTGGCTAAACCATTAATTACAGACCAAAACCCAAAGGAACAAACAAATCTTCAGCTACAACACAGGGTTCTTCTATATGGAAGTTTAACTTTGATTATGATACATTGGAAAACTAAGCCAAACTGACATTTCAAGTGACAGTATGTGTCAGCGATGCACTGTCTTTATTTTTAAGAGTTCACTTTTCCTTCCTGTTTGTTGTCGTCGGTTAGCATGTGAAAGCTACTTGACGCGAGCAAAATGTTTGCACTGACCATTCAATAGAGGAAATGTCAGTTGCTAAACAAAGAATTATTACAAGCCACAAGAAATCGTTGTGCAAAAAGGCATAAACACAAGTGTGAATAGATTTTTCAACATTACAATTGGTATACAGATAGCGCCTTTTACGGGTGGGATGGGGGGGGGGGGGGGGGCGAGATTACCGAAAGCACAGTCAAAGAGGCAAGTCTCGAGGTAGACTTTGAAAGTGGAGAGGGAGGCAGTACGGAGAGGCTCCGAGATAGAAGCAGCAGGGACAGAATGGCTGAAAGCTCACCCGCCAATGGTGAGGTGTATGGGGTAGTTTGGGGAAACATGAAGCAGGTTAGCGTTCGCTGAGCAAAGATACAGTTGGATTGATAGTACTGTAGAAGTCACAGAGGTAGGGCAGGGGCCATATGGTGAAGGGCTTTGAATGCAAGAACCAAGATTTTGCATTCAATCAACTGAGGGGCTGGAAGCCAGTGAAGCTGAACATGGATCAACTGAGGGGGAGGAAGCCAATGAAGCTGAACATGGATGGTTTTAGATTTGTAGATTGCAGATAGGTAGATTTTTGGAGTTGACTTTTAAGCAATGAGTCAAATGTACAATAGGGCTCAGCAGACAAAATGCTCTAAAAATGGCACGAAAGATGGTCAAAGATGCATCATAATATAAAGTTAGCCTTTTATCTACTTCGACAGTTACAATACACTTTGCCTTCTCCTAAATAGTTATAAAATACAGAGCTGTAATAAATAATAATAACCCTTGCATTTGATATAGCATCTTATCGCATCATCGAGAAGTCTCAAAGCACTTCACAATATTAATAATACTGTATTATATGTATATACTGTAGAACCATTGTGCGAAATAAAGTATCTTAAAAATATTCTAGTCTATATTCAGTAATGGAGCCTTAAAACGAGGCCCTTGGTGTCTCAGACAGTTTCTGTTCCTTCTTGCTAGTGTGTGCTGCTTTATTGGGCAACATGGTCAACGCATGTCACAAGCTAGTCTTTCACTCAAAGCATGAACGTCCACAAAAGGAAACTCCCACACGATAATAATAATAATCCTTGCATTTGATATAGCGCTTTTCACATTTTCTAGACATCTCAAAGCGTGGTATCAGTGACATATCCAAATTCCAGAGTGGGTGAGAAGTGATTTGGATTTCATGAAGTCCCATAGTGTAGTGGTTAGTGTGCTCGACTCGCAAGCGAGAGGACCCGTGTTTAATTCCTGGGTGGGATAAAACCTTAGGCAAGCTTGCTTACTCCACAAACCTCTGTTTACCTAGCAGTAAGTAGGAACCATCTTGTAAGTGGATTGGGGGATCGCTTTCTGGGGGTAATAATCTCAAAAAAAAATGAGTCAAGTCAATCCACAACTTCTCATTCTTAAAATGCAGCAATGGCCAGGGAATTGGAATGCTACTACTCATCTTCATACTCGTTTAAAAAATAGACAGTTTTCCACAGCCGGCAGACTCCCTCCCTATATAATCCTTACATTTGATATAGATCCTTATCACACCTTCGAGACGTCTGAAATTGCCTCACAAAATATATTATAAAGTGAATTGACTGTATATTTTGTGGGCGAAACACGGCAGCCAATTGCACACAGGTGTGTCCCATGAACAGTTGTGGATTGAGTGACCAAATTTTGCTTTTTTAAGGGATTATAAATATATATATATGTATCTATAATCCCTTACAAACGCAAAAATCTATGTATATAGACATAGGTAATCATTTATATAATACAGACAAACTACCTTCTGTTGAGATTGGGCAAAATATACTTCAGCAAACTTCAGAACCAGCACATAGTCGCCCTCTTCTTTGATTTGAACTTCGTATCCAAACGATTCTTCATTGTAGCGCTCTGTTTGATATAGAATTTGATCTTCTGGTGCTGATCGAAGGATGGGCAGCCTCATTCCATAGTCGGATGCTTGAGAAAGAAAAAGAAGCATAGAGGGTTAGATTCAGGTCAAATATTGGTCAGGCTTTCGATTGCTACCTGCTAACCAGCTGCTCCCAGTATATCTTTTCTTTCAGAACTATTTTCTAGCTCCCAACTAAATAATTATGAAGTTGTGATAGGAATAACACTATAAAGCCAAGTCTCCTCTCTCTCCCAACCCCCCACCCCTCAAAACACCAACAGCTAAATTACAGAGGCTTCCATCCCAGTCAAGATGAAACTACCAGCCACATTGCCGGGGGAAGATTACCTATCGCAGATGTGGTCTCGCAGTTACACCACTGGGTAAAACAGGAAGCAGCCACTAAGTTATCAAGTAAAATGAGTGCAACTTTTCCTTCTTTCAGTTTAAGAAAGAGGAAGGAAATTCAGAGTTTCAGAGAGAAAAACAAAGAGCTCCTGTGGTTAAATTAGCAGGTGACAGGGAGTAAGTAAAACCCTCTATGATTTACTTTCTCAAGTGCTGAGGGGCAGTAGACGTCAAAGCCCCCAGTTTCTGTGTGATGCACCAGAACAGTCCTTTACACAGTGAGGAACACACTTTTTGAAAGTCTTCAATATTATAAAAATGTGGGTTAACGCAGGAAGTAAAAGAGAGAACAAGCTAGGATGTGAAAGTTTTTTTCACATGTGGCGATATGTTCACATGTCATAGATTTCCTGCTCTATCGTATTCCAAACAGAATAGTTACGGGTGAAAATGTCACCAAGCACGAACAATAGCACAAATGCCATATACTTGAGGGCACTAAACTACGGTGCAAGTTCAAGAATATGACAATGGTAAGGAATATCGCAGGTAACCAGACATCTGATCATACACAGTTGAAATCAAAAACTTGTTCCAAAAACATCCACTGTACAACATCCCATACTCTGGAACCTTCCACTGCAAACTTCAGCCTTAAACTCTCAATCCAGACTCTTACAAAAGACCGTGTAATCAATACAGTGATGCAATCAGACCAAAAAGCGAAAAATAATCTAGTTTCTCCCCAATGCAATACACAACTGGTAAGAACCGAAGCATTAGAGACGAGCCTTTGGGCTATGGCGCTGGGTGTATACATGTGACAAAGACAACTAGGGCTCTGTTTCTCAATACCCAATGCACAAGTCTGTAACTGCAAATGGATGAAGCTAAGCTGTGATGCCCCTCCCCTCTCTGTCGCTTGCTGCTGCTCACTATCTCTGCTGCACACAATGAACTATTAATGCTTGTAATTACCATAACACTTTATTAAACCAAAGACCTCAAAGCATTCACCCAACGAGTTACTTTGCAATGTACTGAATGTCAAAATGTATATAAATCAAACATGGCGATGTCCCGCAAACAGCAATAAGAATGAACGAAAAAAATTTCGAGGAGCAAATTTGGATGAGGAAGGAATATTGGCTGGACATTGCGAGAACTATTTGCTCTTCAAAACAGTATTACAGGATCTCTAACATCTACCTCAACGGACTGAGGTTATTTCAGTTTTTCACTCGAAGAGCAACATCATGAGCAATACAGCGCTCTTTCATTCCTGCTCTGGAGTGTCAGCCTAGATTAGGAGCTCAAGTCCCAAAATAGGGTTTGGACCCATGTCCTACTGACCCAGAGCTGCGAGTCCTACTGATAATAATAATAATAATCCCTGCATTTGATATAGTGCCTTATCACGTCTTTGAAACATCTCAAAGCGCTTCACAGAATATATTGTAAAGTCAATTGACTGTATATTTTGTGGGCCAAACGGAGTCAAAATGATGCACCTGGCCAGCAAAGACTCAATGACTCCATAAGGCGGGAGAGAATTGGGGGGGTGGGAAAGAAACAAAAATACACAGCGTTTTCAGCCTACTGTAATCCACACAAAGCAGAGCGAGGGTTACAACACTAACACCCACTAGCCGTCTACATGTGTACAGTACATGGTACATAAACAGAATACACATTGGGGACAAGGTGGTTTACGGAACATAAACCACTCGTGTCTCAGCCGTCATACCTCAGTTGTGCCTGTGTAACCGGCGCCACTCGACTCTCCATAAAGCACTGGTCCCTGATGTGTATCCTCTATAGAATTTATATGGAGACGAGTCTGGATCAAAGCCAAGAGACAAAATATTCAGAGGCAATGTTATTTAAATACGGCCCGACACCAATGAATATTTGAAAAGTCAAATATTCATTGCAGCCCAAGTGAGAGACGCGACTGCAGCAATTAAAAAAGAAAGGAATAGCGTTTTTCTCACAAAAGGCAAACTGCACAATCGACCTCTTGAGAGTTTAAAAAATAGTATTGATCTGTACTCGCTCCACGATAACCCGAGTTTTGCTCTACTCGGCCTGGATTCTCGGTGCGCAAACGTACCAATATATACATTTTGTGTTAGTGGACGGCTTTTTTTTCCCCCCCCACCACAACACTCGGGGGTGTCCCAAGACACATCCGAAGTGCAATTGAAAGTGAATTTGTGGATATAGTTTGGAAGTTGCTTGCAACTACAAAAGAAGCCTTGTCTGGTACAGTCATGACATGTGTTTGCCGAGATCCAGGACTACATGTTAGAACAAACAAAAATGGAATTCTCTCTTGAGCAATGATCCGTCTCCTTGGAAGGGTTTTTATTACCAAAACTCTGCAGCTCGTGTACTCTCACGCACCAGGCTCCGTGACCCCATCACTCCCACCCTCGCCCGACTCCACTGGCTCCCCATCTCCCAGAGGATCGAGTTCAAGATCCTCGTCCTCACCTTTAAGGCCATCCATGGCCTTGCCCCCTCCTACCGCTCTGACCTGCTGACTCCCTACCAACCTGCCCGCTCCCTGTGTTCAGCGGGCTACGGCCTGCTCCATGTCTCCCGCCCGACCAGCTCTACTATCAGTGGCCGGGCTTTCAGCCTCTCTGCCCCCACACTAACTCCATCCCATGGTCCCTTCACCTCGCTTCCTCCCTTATATCCTTCAAGGCCGGTCTCAAGACCCTTCTCTTCGACTGTGCCTTTGGTCTCCCTCCCATCTCTCTGCCTTCCCTCAACCCCTCCCCCATGCTCAGGCCCCGACAGCTGACTGTTCATCGCTTTGGGACGTCCTCCCGATGTGAAAGGCGCTCTATAAATGTCATTTTGTTGTTGTTATATTAACCCTTTGAGAGTTGCCATGTCCAAAGTAATTTTGAGATCCAGCGCCTTGGGACGTCCTCACGACGTGAAAAGGCACAACACATATGTAATTTGTTGTTGAGATGTCACACAAGAATAAAAACTTACTGGAACTGCATTGTGGAAATCTACTTCTGTCGTTAAATAATAATAATAGTGTTTGATATAGCTCCTTATGCTATCAATGTTGTCTCTGAACATTTCACAGGATTTTTCTGTGAAGTGCAGCGACTGTATATTTTGTAGACAACTTGGCAGCCAATTTATGCACACAAATCTCCCATAAGCAGCCATGTAGTGAACAGAAAATTTTATCTAGGGGAGATTGTTGGTCAGTGCAAAGGCAGATACTCACTTCCCTTTTGAAACGGTAGCAATGGGAACTTTAAAGTCCACCTGAACAGGCAGTTAGGACCTTGGTTTAATGTTTTATCTGAAGGAAGGTAGAGGCAAGAGTGCTACGAACTGAGTCAGGCTGACAATTTCGGAGAGGGAGAGAAAAAAAACTAAACCTGCTTTAGTGCCTCAGGACTTCAGATTAATTTTGAACTGCATAACACATACAAACTTGTGGAGCAGGTTTTTAAGTCATTGTTGAGTAGATCCCAAACCAGACACCAGGAAGAATCTATTATGAAATTACCTTCTATTGTTTAATATGTGGTTTTAAGAAACTACATGGAAGAATGGAACATTTCCTTGTTCTGCAAATAAACAGCATGGCAGAATTAAACTGCAGTGCAGGCAGGTAACACACCAAACTGTGCCCCCTTATCAGATGATCAAGTTGAAGCACAAAACGGGTTTGACGAGTTACAGAGATATCTTGATAATGAAAGATTGCCTCAGCAATAGCACTCCTCATCGTGCTTAAAAGCAAAGAATGTGGCATTGTTAAGTGCTCGGAACTTTTACAGTATTTTCCACGTGTGATTTTATTATATTGATGTTAAGGTTGAAGTACTATATATTTCCCATTGAAGAGGCACAACCATTTTGGATATTTCCAAATTAATCGTGGGGATTATAATTTTTCTTGCGCAAAAGGTCAATTGAGGCCAAGTGACAAAGCAGTGTAACATATTCCATGGCCCCAATGGAAATGTACCTGCAGAATATTAACTTCAGGCTAAGCAGGCAATGTACAAACGGCTTTATATCAATTTACACATATAGTAGTATATGGAGGGAGAAGTATGAACCAGTGGATCCCCGCCTCACACACACACACCGCACATTATTTGACCTCGCCTTGGATTGATTAGGATTTACTTTATACTGTTAATTGCATAATTCTAATAACACCTTTGTTGCTTCACAAATTTAAGAAAAACGATCATCTTCATCAGAAATTACTTTCGCCAGAGATCGGATTTAAAACTTGCCAAAACCGCAGTATGAACAGATGTGATTGTTAATTACCCATCCTTTCCTTTTCACCTCAGCAAATGAAAAGACAATCAGTTATTCTCTCCGGAGGAGTTGTTTTCTTTTTTGCTGCGTGTTAGAACGCCGACAGAAAATAGCGTTCAATTTATAATCAGAAATGCTGCTACCAAAAGCAAATATCCTATTAACATTCTAACAGCGCAGTCTGAAACACAGCCCGTCTTTCCAGTACGGTCTCACCTCTGCACATTCCCTCCTCCTGGTACTCCTACTAAGACACGCTACAGTAACAGTAGATGTCTTGTTTTATGCATTGAATATGACTGAATTTACCAACCAGCTACATATGCACCAGAAATAGCTGAGGCTCTCATGCTATTTTCTTTTATGGGCTGTACTCTCTATAAATAATAATATAATCCTTGCATTTGACATAGCGCTTTTCAGGTCTTCTAGACGTCTCAAAGCGCTTCACAGAATATACTGTAAAGTGAATTGCCTGTATATTTGTGAGCGAAACGCGGCAGCCAATTGCACACAACAGTGTCCCACAAACAGTCATGGATCGAAGTGACTCAATTTATAATTTTTTTCCTGAGAGATTATTATCAGGTGCGTGAAGTAAGGAAACTGGCCCAAGGTTTTGCCCTACTGGGAATCAAACCCAGGTCTCTCGATGGCAAGGTGCATGATCTAACCACTCAGCTACATGACTCCACGACTCCTCTATATGTGTAGATTGCTGACACGTGTAACTTATTAACGTATCTTTACAGACATGAGCATCTTCTTGCGTTGACATACTTCCAAATTTCAAGATCAAACTCAACTAAGCAGATACGTCTATCGAACAAAACTGTAGATGTTCATCAATGTATGAACACTCTGTGAAGCAGTGCCACCCACAGGGCAAGTCCCCAATCATCTGCCCAAAGGAGATGCCAGTTCCCCACAGGGAGAAAGGGGTGGGGGAAAGAAAACAAAGTGGTTCCAAATTCCGCTCCTCAAACACACCTTTTAACAGACGGTGAGAAAGTGCTGGAAGGTCTGCAAGCTTGTCACACGTACGCATTTCACAAAGAGTGAAAAAAAGAGGAAATATAACCAGCAAGTTCCAGGAGTCTCCCAGACTTGATTCAAAACAAATGAACTTAGTGAGGCTCAACTTTAATGGCGGTTATACGTTTGATCATTAGCAGCTGTACTTGATAAGACTTTTTAGAAATGTGTGCACGTGGAACACATCTGCACTCCATGACAGCACCAAGCACTTCCAGGTCAGCAATAATACAGGTCAGAGGCAATCTTACGTTCCCTCTATATCACACGGACAACTAGTAGAACAGTACAAAGTGTCCATTCACATCGAACGTAGAAAGTCACACAGCACCTGAGCCGTTTAGAGTAGCTTTCCTCTCCCTCTTCTCGACCCTCCACATCACTTTGCAACTAGTGAACGTTACCTGCACTCAATGATGGGCAGGGTTTGCTAATGCATCCAGATCAATGTGACATTTCAGAAGCCCGTTCCCTTTTCCCCCCCAGACTACGTTAAACCAGTGAATTTCCAAAAATAAAAAACACGGTCCATGTCGACATCTCTTATTTTGACAGGGCACAAATAAACAGGTCCAACAATCTCTTCCACTCCCCTCCCAAATTGCCTCTCCCACACTCATCTAGCTACCAGACTTGTAGTTTCTCTTCTTTTCAGTGCACAATAATAAAACTGCACATAAATTAAACATGGATTTAAATGCTAATTACACATGTACCCTTTTCCCTACCTCTGAGAGCTTGCCACGTGTGGTTTTGGACCTTACCCCTTCTTCCCACTCCTCCACCTTCTCCCTCTCTTCTGACACTTCCCAAAGTTTCTGATCTCCTCTCCCCCCACTCCACTACCTCCGCTCAGCTGGCTCTGGCCTCCTGCTGGTTCCTCGTCCCCTTTGCTCCACCATCGGCAGGCATGCTTCCAGCTACTACGCCCCGAAGCTTCGAAACTCTCCGCACCAATCCCTCCACTTTTCCCTCTTTCAGATCAAGACCGAACACCTTCCCCTTCAACCATGCTTACGGTCACCTCCCTCCCTCCCTCCCTCCCTCCCCACGGCTCGGCGTCAGGCTCCGGCAGCGTTAAGCGCTCCAGGAAGCCACCCTGCACGAAGGGCGCTATGCAAATGCAAGCTGTTGCTGTTCTCCTTCCGCCCATCACCGCCCCCCATGCCATGCCATGCCCACCACCAACCCCCCCCCCAACCCCCAACCCCCTCGTCTTGGCGTCAGGCAGTGTTAAGCGCTCCGAGACGCTGCCCTACGTGAAAAGGGGTGCTATATAAATACAAGTCGCTGTTGTCCTCTTCTTCTCCTCCTCCTCCTCCTCCTCCTACACACCTCCACCCCCCTCCAATCTCGTTCTCCCCCCCCCCCCCACACACATACCCACCCAAAATACCCTCCTCATGCCCCCCCCTCCTCCTCCTCCTCTTACCTCTGCCGACCTTCCCCTCCAGCGGGTCCCTCCTGAAGTAGACGCCGTGGATGTCGGTGTGAGCCTCCCCGCCCGCGTTGATGGCCCATATCACTTTGTCGGCCAGGCCGGAGGCGCAGCACCAGCGCGCCGTCGCCAAGGCCGCCGCCAGTAGCAACCACAGGCTGTGCGCGCTCCGTGTGCGGGGGGGATGGCACCCTCTGCTCATCTCACACTAAAGGGGGTCCGACTGTGAGGGGAGGATGGGGGGGAGGGAGGGAGAGGGGAGGGGAGAGGGATGGAGGGGGGGGAGGAGAGGGGGGAGAGGGAGGGAGGAGAGAGGGGGGGAGAGGGAGGGGGAGAGGGGGGGAGAGGGAGGAAGGAGGCGGTGGGGAGAGGGATGGAGGAGAGGGGAGGAGGAGAGGGGGGGAGAGGGAGGGAGGAGAGGGGGGGAGTGGGAGGGAGGGAGAGGGAGGGACGGAAGGAGAAGGAGGAAGAGGAATGGAGGGAGAGGGAGGGAGGGAGAGGGGGGGAGGAGAGGGGGGGGAGAGGGAGGGAGGGAGAGGAGAGGGGGGGGAGAGGGAGGGAGGGAGGAGAGGGGTGGGAGGGAGATGGATGGAGGAGAGGGGGAGAGAGGGGGTGAGTGTGAGGGGAGGAGGGAAGGAGGGAAAAGAAGGGGAAATAAATATATATAGAGAGAGAGAGAGAAAGAGAGAGAGGGAGAAAGAGAGAAAGAGAGATGGCCTCGAATCTGACAAACCATCCAAACCGAAGCGAAAAAAAAATAAAATAACACGGAATGAAATAAAAAAAATAATAACACAATACAATCCACTGGTGGTGGTTTGAGGAGAGAGGGAGAAAGAGAGAGAGAGAGGGAGAGAGCAGTGAAACCCTCTCACAGTCCCCAGTGTCAGTGTCAGTGCCGGTGAGGGGGTTGAGGGGGAAAAATAAAACCCCGACACACACACACAAAAAAAAATCCCCCTCTTTCCTCCTCCTCCTCCTCTCTGTTGCACGTTAGAGGAGAAGAAGAAGAAGAAGAAAAAGAAGAGAGAGAGAGAGAGAGAGCGAGAGATAGAGAGGGTCACAACCTAACCTGACGCCCGGCGTCGTCGCCCGTCCGTCCCAGTCCCGTCCCGTCCGTCTGTCGTCGTCGTCGTGGCCGTGACGCGACTCCCGCTGCTGCTGCCGCTGCGGCGGGGGCGGGCTTCCGACTGACTGACTTGACTGACAACCGTCTGGACCAATCGGATCGCCGGCATCCGGTAGGCGTCGCCTGTCATTGACCCGGAGCCGACCAATCATCGCGTCTCTAAGGGGTGGGACTCCTGCTCCTCTCTCCCCCACCACCCGGACTGGTCGCGTTCGGTTGAGCGGCAGAGCGAGCGCCAAAGCGAGTGCGGAAGTGAAATGGGCGGAACAGTCCAACTCCGCCGGGTAGGTGGGGGGGGAGGGGGGAGTCTAACTTTTTACCGGGTTTTCCCCCGCCACCCGTTTGCTTCTCCGTTGCATCGAGATCGGTTGCCAGACAAGGAGAAAATCCCACGCGCGTGTCCGGCCACTCGGAGCCATCGAGCAAAATTCTTGGCCCCTTATGTCTCTTTGCTGAGGATTCTCCTCCCCCCCCTCCCTCCCCCCCCGCGCGCAGGCGCGCGCGCGCGGTCATGTAAAGTCGGCGGCGACTGACCAATCGGAGCGGTCCAGCGCACACTTGTCGCGGTGCAGTGTGGGAGAGGCTGAGTGAGTGAGTGAGTGAATGAATGAATGAATGAAACGTAACGTTACGTCACGCTCTGGTCTGAAAGCGTGGAGTAGTAGTGTCTGGTGTGCAAATGTGTGCCCCTCTCTTTGCAAAGCAGCCGGGGAGGGTGGTCACTGCTGGAGAGGTGTGTGTGTGTGTGTGTGCAAATGATGATGGATGATAGTGGGGGCAGTTTTGCAAATACTGTTTTTTTTTGTTCTGCGTTTCTTTCTTTCGGATTTCCAGCATCTATATAATAATAATAATAATAATCCTCGCATTTGATATAGCGCTTTTCACGTCGGGAGGACGTCCCAAAGCGCTTCACAGAACACATTGTAAAGTGAATTGACTGTATATTTGTGGGCGAACGCGGCGGCCAATTGCGCACAGCAATGTCCCACAAACAGTCGTAGATTGAAAATGACCAATTTATTATTGTTGTTTTTATCTGCAGTGTTTCGACTTTTTTGTTGTTGTTGCACAATTGCTGTACTTTCTGGTCCAAAGCAAAGCAAAGCAGTGCAGTGCAATGCATCGGATTGGATGCCGTTGCAGTCGTGGGCGGGCGCCCTTTGCTCACAAAACGGCTACAGGCGCCAGATGTAAATAAGGTGAAATATGCAGGGATGGGGCTGGAGGCTGGTGGTAAACCTGTCGGTTTTCGACGATGGTGGTTCAGAATTTCTCTGCTCATTCAGAATTCATCTGCATGCCCGAAGAGTTAAGGATCCTAACCAGGACTTGAGAATGGGTCCCAGTTCAAACAGGTGTAGGTGGATCTGTGGTTGTATCATTACTTGCAATCGTTTGCTGAAGAGAAATCTGAATGGAGGAGTCTCCCCAGTGTCAGGAGGGACTACCTAATATAAGGTACTACTGGCTTCTGATTGATTGGCAACCAATTAGGCCAACAAATGCAAGAAGATGTGAAGCAAGGGATGTGCTGTGTGTTTGGGAGTTGGTAGAGGAGGGTGCGCTTTGAACGGTCTGTAAAAGGCTTTGATAAACTAAAAGGCTTTATTATGCTTTTACCTTGCAATGAACATACTGGATTAAATCGTTGTGGATAGGTAGTATTACTTCAAGACTTAGATTCTATGCCCTACACTCCTTGGGTCTTCTCATTTCTTCCCCTCCCTCGTCTTAAATCTGTGTGCAAATTGGTTGCCTCGTGCACCAAGTACACAGATAATCCACTTCCCAGTAAATCCTATGAAGCGCTTCGAAACGTTCTCCCGATGTGAAAGGGTTATACGAAATGAAAGAATTAATATTAAATTACAAGCTTGGAGTCAACTAGCAAATTTGACTTCACAGGGTGTACTGAAAGTGTAGTGACTGTATTTCGTAGGCAGTGAGTTCAAAGTGCCAATGTGGGGCTTGAACCCACATACTTGCGAACTCAGAAGGGAGGGGTCTACTGAGCTAAGTCAGGCTGACGCACACTTTGAACACATATTGTCTGGGCTGATGCTCTGCATTGTTGGAGGTGCCATCATTCAGTTGAGATGTTCAACCAAGGTCCTGTCTGCCTTACGTTAAAGAAGTAACAAGATTTTGTTTTACCTTGGAACCATACTCTTATCAAGAACCAATGGATTGGGAGGTGAAAATTGCCTAAACAAAAATTAAGTAAGGAAGTGAAAAATGTTGCTAATTTCCACAATCACTTCATCACATCGATTTGCATAATTGAACCCAGAACAAAAGCTTCCGCCTGGTTCCTTTTAGTTCTTTTATTCTGCTTAAACAGTCTGACTACACAGAGAATGATGACGACTTTACAAAAAAGGGTGATTTGACTGCACCATCAAAAAGCAATTATTGTTTCAACGCACCCATTGATTACTGCCAAACTTCTGCACATTGTGAACCACCAACTGTGCACTTCCAGTGAGAAAGAGATTCTATGCTGTCTCTAATGGAAAACATTGTTTTAAGTCTTTTTATAGAAAATCTTAAACTTGTAAAAATTTCAGGAAATTCCTGTACAGTACTTTGACTTTCTCTTAATAAAAAAGCGATATATCAAATGCAAGTATAATAACTTCTGAAATAATTGTTAATTGAGACTGGAATGATGACATCTTCAAGAGAATCCTCTTCCTTGATAAGATAACAATACATATAACATATTAATTATCATTTTTTAAAAATCTTTGGTCAATTGGATGTCTTGACACATGTGCAAATCCATCACCATGCTTAGGAATATCCAAACTAAACTGAAAGTTCCATGAATCCCACCTGCACATGGAAATTCCTTGCCGTTGAGACCACTATCTCTCAAGCTTTCCCTTTGCTTATCCATGTAGGACCACCCTACCCATTAGGGCTTTGGCTTGCAGGATTAACAGGAGCTGAGCAGGAAGAATCCATGCACCTTGCACCCAGTGACTGGTCTGCCCTTCTGACTTGCCGATGAGCCAGCTTGGATGTGCTGTCATCAGCAGTGCCCTGGAGAATTGCGGACCCACCTGACTCAGGAACTGGCCTACTGGACCGCCACAGAGAGTGGGCTTGATTCCGACATTCTGTGTCACCTTGGAGCCAATTCAGCTCCAAGGACATCCCGCTTACCTCCCCTCCGGAAGATTGTCAGTGTATAATCAGAACTACTGCACAAATTGTGAGCGGACAGGGTGTTCAGCTGATATCCTGGATCCAGAGCCTCCATATCATTAGCATTTTATCAATGGATCAATCACTCTAGGTTGTTTGCCCCTTATTAGTTGTGTTCACAAGGAAATTATATTTACAGAATGTAACAATTGTGCAACAATTGTGAAAGATCAAAGTCTTCCAATAGTACAAAGCTGCTGGAAGAGTACAATGCTTGCAGAGAGCTCCCATGTACACAAATTAACTCAAGTAATTGAACATCAGGGTATTTATAGTTTTAATGGGTCAATTGTTAAAGATCTTCTATTTATGCACAGCAAACACTATATTTGTAATTCCCTGGAAACGTGACTTTGTTGGTAATATCCTTAGAGTGGCACGTCCAATTAATAACATTGACAGAAAGCTTCTGATTGAAGAGCTTCTGGCACATGGCTCCGCTTCGTAAGCAATAATACTTTTGGCACTGCTGTTGGAGGAGATGCCATGGGAACGGGGCCGTCACTGAAGCAGCTGATGTAGCTTCCAGCTATTTTCAAGTCAATGCACATAACCTGATTATCTCCAAATGGGATAAGAATAATAATCCTTACATTCGATAAAGCGCCTTATCACGTCGTCGAGCTTCACAGACAATACTGTAAAACAGGTCGACTGTGTACTTGGCCGCTCACATTTGGTCTCCGGGTCTCGCCCACAAAATTGCAGTCAATTCACAATTTACAATATAATTCTGCGAAGCTCCTTGGGACATCCTCCTGACCTGAAAGGCGCTATGCAAATGTGACTTATCGTGGTTGTCGTTCGCTATCGTCTCAATGACGTGATAAGGCGCTCTATCAAGTGCAAGGATGATTTACTATTATTATTATTATTATTATTGTCGCTCAGTGCATTGTGCGCGTGCGCGTGTGTGTAAAAACAAAACAAAACAAAAAAAAGCCTGAGGGTAACAGGACTTTGTAACCTCCCCCCACCCACCCTGCGTATTGTGCAACAACAACAACAACAACAACAAAAAAGCGCCCAATCGGGGCGTGAAACCCGCCCGATCAGGGGCGGCGGGGCGGCGGCGGGGGCGTGAAACCCGCCCAATCGGGGCGTGAAACCCGCCCGATGGGGGGGGGGCAGGGGGGGAGGATCGGGAGCGTGAAGCCCGCCCAATTGGGGCGTGAAACCCGCCCCGATCGGGCTACATTGGGCGGGCGGGCGGCGCGGGCTGACCCGCCCCCTTCCCCTCCCCCTTCGGCCTTCTCCATAGATACCGAGAGAGTTGGGAGCCGCGGGGCGGCCCGGGCGCCATTTTGAAACCGGTGGCTGCCTTCACCAGCGTTTGGGCCGGAGAGCGCGCGACTGACAGAGAGGGAGAGAGAGAGAGAGAGAGAGGGAGGGAGCAAGAAGAAAAAAAAGGAGGGATAAAGTGGCTTAAAAGCTTTAAAGAGTTGCAGGAGAAGAAGAGGGGGAGAGAAAGAGAGAGAGAGAGAAAGAGAAAGATAGCGGTTTTTTTTAAAAAAAAGTCTTTCAAAACGTCCCCCCTCCCCCCCCCAATCCCTGTCCCCTCACCGAAAAGGATGAGCAGCTCCAACAACAGGGCGTCCGGCCTCGACTCCAAGGACAACAACACCAAGAAGAAGAAGAAGACGTCGTCGTCGTCGTCGACCTCCTCCTCCTCCTCCTCCATTACCACCAGCACCACCACCACCACGAAGAAGATGATGGTGTTGGCGGGGTCGACGACGAAGGTGACCACCACCACCACCGTGGCCACCGCCACCTCGGGCTGCGCGCTGAACCGGCTGAAGAGCAGGAGGAACCCGGAGCCCCAGAAGGACGAGCTGCGGTTGACCACCGAGGAGGAGCTGCTCCAGAGGGACTTCATCACCCCGGTCAATGTCCTGGGCCTGCAGAGGGTCACCGAGAGTAAGCAACCGGCCTCCCCCCCCCCCCCCAACACCCCCAACCCTCTCTCTCTCCTCCCTCTCGGGTTTGGGGATGATGGGGGTGGGGGGGGGGGGGGGTGGAGAGGGGAAGACGTGGCTCTTTAGGTACTTGAGTCTGAGGCAGGATGGAGAGGGTTTTGGAAGGATGGAGACGAAAGGGGGGGGGGTGGGGGGAGAGGGGCGAGAGGAGAGGAAGGGGGAAAAGAGGGGCGAGAGGAAGGGGGAAAAGAGGGGGAGGAGGGAGAAGAGAAAGAGGGGAGGTGGGAGAGAGAAAGGGGGGAGGAGGGAGAGAGAAAGAGGGGAGGAAGAGAAGAGAGGAGGAGGGAGGGGAGAGAAAGAGGGGAGGAGGAGAGAGGAGGAGGGAGGGAGAGAGAAAGAGGGGAGGAGGGAGGGAGAGAGAAAGAGGGGAGGAGAAAAGAGGAGGAGGAGGGAGGGAGAAAGAGGGGAGGAGGAGAAGAGAGAGGAGGAGGGAGGGAGAGAGAAAGAGGGGAGGAGGAGAAAAGAGGAGGAGGGGAGGAGGAGAAGAGAGAGGAGGAGGGAAGGAGAGAGAAAGAGGGGAGAAGAGAGGAGGGAGAGAGAAAGAGGGGAGAAGAGGGAGGGGAAGAGAATAAGAATAATAATACTTGCATCTGATACAGCGCCTTACCACGTCTTCAAAGCGTCTGAAAGCGCTTCACAAGATATACTGTAAAGTGGATGGACTGTATTGTGTGGGTGAAACGCGGCTGCCAATTGAAGTGAGGAGAGAAGATGAAGAGGGGGAAGAGGAGAACAACAATAACAACTTGTGTGTGTGTGTGTGTGTAGCACCTTTCAGTGTCTCTCTCGGTACGCTTAACCGTGGCGGAGCCAGACCCTAAGGCAGGGGGAGGTCAGAGGTGACCGTAAACGCGGTCAAAGAGGGGGCAAGATCGGGTGAGGGAGTTCCAAAGATTATATCCCCATCCATCCCTTCCCCATCTCTTTCCCCACTAATACTTATGATGTTAAAGAGCTAAAGGCTTTCTCTCTCTCCTCTCACCCATTTCCATGCCAATTTTTGTTCTCTTTATTAACTTCCACTTTTAATGATATTCAGACCCAGAAGAAAGAAAGGGAAAGCACTTTGCTCAATTTATTCTGGGAGTCCTCGATTTAGACCATGACTGTGAAAGTAGTTGTTGATCAGAAAGGTTCAGCAGTGTCTTCAGTGGCTCCTCCCCCCCCCTCCCCCCCCCCCCCCCCCCCCCCCCCCCCCCCCCCCCCGTCCTTAAAAAGAATTGCTAAATCTCCAATTTTGGTAGATCCATCTTCTTGTACTTTGCTAAAAGTCCCACTGTGCATAAAATAACTTGTGGGAAATGGCTAGCGTGTGAAACGATAACCTTATCGCTTCAAGCTATTGATAAAACCAAGCCGTGTGGTCTTTGCAAGTCTATGTATTTGGAGGCCATTGCTTTGTGCTGTGGGCAGGAATGGAGATTAATGCTGTCCGAGCAAGACGTCAGCAAGCTAAATTGCTTGTAACCTTCCTTAATGGAAGTCTTAAAACATGTTGGTTAACCACATTTCCATTTGCATTGCTACATATATATATATAATGTATTATTAACTTGCACGGAGTAGTCTGAAATCTGCTTTGCAAACGGTGGGTGGTGGTTTAATAATAAAGGATCTTACCGTTGGGTGGATAGAATCTCTGTGTAGAAACAAAGCTCGCATTTATGAAGCTCGTTACTACTGCCACCCCATACACTTGAATAGATTAAAGGTCTAAAAGGCTATTGTTTATAGGGAATGATGAACACTACTGATATGCTATATTTGTGTGGGATAAAAACTTTTTCAACAAATGCCCTAATTTAACAAGTGCCTTGTTGAAGAGGATGCAATTTACTGTACTGTAGCTTGCTGCCACTTACTGTAGTTAGCACAAGCTTCAGGTAATTTGTAAAATCTGTGTGCCCTCTAAATGTTTAAGTATTTGTTTTTTTTCAAATCTATGTGAACCTTTATTTCTCTTGTTTCCACGACTATTCTAGTAGAAAGTTCTTGCTTGCCTCGCCAGGATCAAGCTTGTTTGTAGTGTCTCAAATGGCAACCCTGCAGACACGCCTTGTCTAGGTTTGCATCTGAAGGATGGCCAAGTGGGTGATGCTGCCAGTACTGAACAAACTGCACCCTAGCATGAATATCTTAAACCAAGGAAAGAAATGTTGTTAAACTGACAGTATCCCAAAGCTGAAGGGCACACCTTTTGTATTATTGCTAAATTTAGTTGGCGATTTCTGCTTGGTGTTCCCCTGGTGCTGAATAATCTAGATGAGCTCTTAGCTTGCTATTTTTATTCCTAAACTTGGAGTCTTGCTAACCTATGATGAGGAGCTATCTGGAGATAACTTTCTGTGTTAATCCTATGGTAATGGAGTATTTCACTGGTTGCCCTCTCCAGTATTAGCTCACTTTGGTTGGTTGGGGGTGGAGAGTGAGGCGCTAGCTCCCTAGATCCTAGCAATGCACAATGGAAAGACCAGTTATGAAGGATGGTTTGGATGGAATTTAAGCAATTGGCTCAAATAAAAACAAATTGTTGGGAATACTCAGCAGGTCAGGGAGCATCTATGGAGAGAGGGAAGTGAGTTAACATTTCAGGTCGATGATCTTTCGTCAGGAACTCTGTCTGTGCTAAAAACTGGGTCAACAACATGCGTGCTCAATGTCAGATTCAGCAGGGAGAAGCATTTTATCCCATCAGTCTAGGGTTAGGGTTAGAACCCCAGTCTGGACTAGGGAGTGGGAAGTCCAGAAGTGAAAGCGCAGCATGTTATCCACTGTAATAATACTAATCCTTGCATTTGATATAGCTCCTTATCACGTCTTCAAGACGTCTCAAAGCGCTTCACTCCAAAATGGAGTGACTGTGTATTTTGTGGGCAAAACATACTGTACCACCCATCGCACAAACAGATGTACAGTATAAGTACACGGCCACTTTTATAAGCAACTGTAAGCACTCTTGAATCACAAGTATACAAAGGCTTGCAGCAAATCATGATCACCACCGTGAAACTTGAGCGGTAGCATTCTAAACGATTGCATTGTAAACTTGCTTTTCACTTAGATATAATCAATGTTGATGATGACATTTGTATAGGGTTATGGTTGCACACCTTAGGTTAAGTTAAGTGATCAGTTCTGGGCAACTCTGCAATGTAACTTCATGGCAAACAAAGTACAATATTTTATAAACCAAAAAGAACACAAACTTTTTTTGCAAAATGTCTGTTTAAGAATATTTATATACAAATATAGCCTCATTTGTGTACTATTTTATGTTTTTCTTCAAAAAAAATTTAAGCTGAGGAATTTGACTTGCCCCTGTTCACTTTGTTTCGGGGAGTAATGCCTATCACCATATTCATTGTATTACGGTGGTCAGCCTGTCTCAGTTGGTAGCACTCTCACCTCTGAGTCAATCGATTGTGGGTTCAAACTGCATGTAGGCACATAGAACTTGCATAATCTAGTCTGATACTCCAATGTAGTGTTGGGGGTGTGCATTGTTAGACGTGCCGTTCTACGGATTAGATGTTAAATAAAGGTCCCGTCTGCCTGTTCAGGTGGTCGCTAACGATCCCATAGAGCTTTTTGAAAAATTGAAAGGGAGTTTCTCCTGATATCCTGGCCAACAATCCCCCAAATAATAATCAATAAAAGTAATTTACGTCCATGGCTGTTTGTGGACATTGCTGTGTGCAAATTGGCAGCAGAGCTTGACCTCCAAATACAGTCACTACACTTAACAGTAAATCCTACAAAGCACTTTGAGATACCTTCCTGACGTGAAAGGTGCTTTATTGAATGGATTTTTTATTTTCCTGCTATTGACTACTGGAGGAAGAGGTTCATTTGGAACATTGCTTACCACCTCTTTTAACGATCAGAGCAATTTGTGTTTCTCATAGGTTGGCATGAATGTGAATCAGCCTGGAATTCAAACGCTGCTCTCCCAGCTGAGTTCCTTCAGTTTATTAAATCAATTTGCTTTGTTTGTAAACAAGTGTTGCCCACAATAGGTTTGAAATGAATGTTGGACTGAAACCAATACATTTAACAATGTAACCAGTGACTGGAGAGTATGAGTGGTCCAATTGACAATTGGCACTGCATTTCACCCTGGAAAAAAACCCCCTAAAGTATTTTATAAACAGTATTTTTAGTGTTCAAGTAAATATTTAACCATTTCCCAATAACTTGCTTATGTGATTTACTGTGCTTTGCAGTTTAGCTGAGAATTGACTGAAAGTTATCGAAAGAGAATATTTTGTTTAAATTTGAGGCTGAGATTTAAACTTCTGTCCTGGCTTCAGAGTACCATTGTGCTACTTGAGCTGCCTTCATAGATCCACGTAGTAAATAACAACTTAATGAATCATCGCATTTGCAAACATTAATTCAGTGCTGAACTCTTGAAGGTTTTAAAAATGGAAATTTCCCTCAACCGTTGCATCACGGTGCATTAATAATAATAATAGATGTAGCATCAATGTGCAGAATTTAAAGCTGCTCACCTGAAGTATATAGAATTTTCAGACACATGAGAGCATTGGGCAACTGGTTAATTTGGATATTTTTTCTCCCTTCTATTTTTAATGGTTCTGCTTGTCTAATTGCCTCTGGGTGAAAATTTTTAAAAATATTATTGGTGAATATTCTTAAACATTCTCTGTAAATTAAATTGCTGTTATTGTAGAATGTAGAAGTTGTTCATATTGATTCGAAAGAACCATTGTGTGTTCAAGAACAAGTACTGTGTAAAGTGATTGTTTACTTAGAAACTGAGAGCGTTGATTCTAATCACAGCTTTATGAACCAATATTTTGATACTCGGGTTGCTCTGATCTTGTTCTTTAAAGCTTACCTTTTGTGAGTGATTGTAGCACATGGAAAGGTGCCGCTAATTTTTCAGGATGTTTTCATGAATGTTTGAAGTACCTGTTGGCGCCAAATACACATTTGTACCAGCCAGAACACATTGCACCATGATTACTATTGATCTGTCCCCAAATAAAGTAAACTTTAGCTTCAGGTTAGGCTTCTTGTCTGCCAAACTCATCCATTAAAGTGAAATTTAGCCTCGTGGGTTCCATTCTGTCGGCATATAAACTGGGAAAGAGAATGAACGGAAGCCTAATGTATTGCAGGTCCCAACTATGTAACTTGGCCCAACAATCTCCTTTGTGCAAATTAAAGCAGTGATTTTATTTAGACTAACGTAACACTGCTTTGTATTTTTTTTGATGTGAAGAAAGAAACTCCATTTCCCTTCCATATAAAGTGAATTGAAGGGCAGTAAGAGTGTTGCATGCTTCTTTGACAAACAGAAATCAGTGGTGCTACAATTAAATTGACTTCATGCACATGTATGTTTTTCAGGTCGTTAGTGTTTTCAAAAGCCACCTGCCACTTATAAGCCGAGAAAGGTTTTCTATAACAGTAAAAATTGTGTTTGAGCTCCTACAGTGAGCTGTTCTGAAAACACTTGGGTGCAAGTCTATCATAAAATATTTCATTTTAATGAGTAGAACTAAAATGAATGGTGCAGTTATATCTGGAAGAATATGTTGGGAACATCTTGAGGGTGATTATCCAGCAGTTGGCAAATGTACTGATTATGATGGGGTTGAGTGAGTCTGATTCTCTGCTGTTTCAGGCAATCCCATTACTTACCCAAAGCTGCCAAAGTTGGTAAATTTGCAAACGAGCTTAAAAATCTTCACTCCCGAATGATCTTTTAAAGAGGTTCTTTTTAATCGGTCTACATTGATTTCACTTTCAAGCTGTCCGCACCTCTTGAGAGGGTGAGGATACAGGCACTGTATAATATGACTCAGTGTTATTTCTGTTGGGTTCTTTATATCACATCATTGCATATAAATTGTGTTGTGTAAATGAGCTTTTCCTTTGGTTTTGGGCAAGAGCAAGAGAGAGAGCCAAATAGATATTAATTGTTTGGAGTTTTGATGCAGAAAATTCCTTTTTTGTTAACCCTGGTCTTAATTTTTAAGGTTTCTGCGAAATTTTAAAAGAAAACCTGTGAACAGTTGTTAAATATGCCTCCTGAGTGTAACTGAACTATGCTATTAGCCTATGTTGGCCAGCGTGATGGTAAGGGTGGATACAATTGGTTGATGCTTAGGGTAGGGGAAACCAGTCTGGAATTGCTGTTTACATCTAAGCAACATCTTTTAAGTATCCATGAATTGAAAACCACTGTCAGTTTCTGACTTCAGGCCTTGTGTGTTGCAGAACTGATGCACAATTGCCACACTCAGCTGATAAAAGTCAGGAATAGTTTTGTTGAATCTGCTAAATAAATGGTGTATATTTGTTCACAATATCATTGGACTGAACCTGCATAATAATGTTACCCGATGGAAAAATCAATTGAAGTACCCGCTACTTCTTTTTGTTATTACAGATAAGCCTGCTGTTGATTTTCTTTTGTTTGCAACCTGCTGTTGATTTTCTTTTCTTTACATAAAATGTTCCCAAGTATGCAAGGAGTGCGTACTGTTGTTTCCAGCTGCCTGAATTAGTTTTACACTTGACTATACTCCCTTTTCAGCAGAGTTTGTTGATGGGATTCCTAGCACTAACAGCAACTCTATAAAACACAGTAACTATCTACTGTGCTATATATTTTAAAAGATGGCTTCTAAGTTTTGTGTTAGAATATGAGGTCAGGTCAAATGTGGTTTTAGCTGGTTAAGTTCCAGCAGTATTCGAAAGTCCCAAAGCCTTGGCTCTCCTCTCGCCATCTTGCATCTAGTAATCTCTGGAATTAGGTAAACAGGATGCGTACCTCCAGGGAGAGAGTGCACATTCCATTCCAATGCACTGGAATTTCCATGTGTAGGTGGAATGAATAAAACTCTGTCTGGTTTGAATACTCTTTAAGCCTGGTAATGGGTTTCTGCATCTGTCAAACACCTGGCTGAGCCCCCCCCCCCCCAAATTGTAATTTTTCAGCTACCATTTTCTAGTCTCTGATAATTAATTAGTAACTTTAAAAAAAAAGAGCATTTATTGAACCTAATCTGAGGGTAGGACGAGAAAGTGAGCATGGCTCCAAAAAAAACAACGTGAGAAGAAAGTCAAGTGGAAATAACTGTTTTTGGAAACCTTACCTAGTTTGTAGCCTTCTATATCAAGACAGTTAATAATGATTCTTACGTTTGATATAGTGCCATCACCGGATTTATTGTGAAGTGAATTTATCTAATAGGTCAACATTGCAGCCAATTTGCACACCACAATGTCCCACAAACAGAATGACCAATTTTATCTGGGGGATTGTACGTAAGACACTGGGAGAAGTATCCTTGATACAAAATGATTTTTCTGATGTTTGTAATTCAATCAATTGTAGTTGTGCAATGTGGCTTCGTCTGAATTTTCATCGTGCACATAAATGTTTTTTTTAAGAAAAAGGGATTCTGTTTTGATACATTTGAAAATATTTTGCGTTTCACCCTCAAGTATACAGTCACTCCACTTTACAATATATTCTCGTCTCAACGACCCGATAAGGCGCTATATCAATTGCAAGTATTATTAGAACATACTTCTAATATACTCTTTCTTTCAGACTATTTGTGCAGACCTGAAGACAATGTTTTTGACATTGATTTTATAAGATTTAAGATTCGAGATATGGAAACGGGGACTGTTTTGTTCGAGATTGCCAAGCCATCATCCTCAGGTATGTAAAATATGAACAGGAAGAGTATACGCCTGAGAATCCAATTTGTGATTCTAAGGCAGATTCTTTAAATAAGGCACTAGGTCTAACTTTTTTCAAAGTGGAAATATCAGATTGTAATACCCATTTTACAATGTGTGCTCTCTCTTTCTCTCTGTCTGTCTCACATATGCGCACAAATTGAAGTTTTGTGATAGATTAGGAAATGTATCTAGGTAGTGGAACCGAGACATCTGATCTTATTTTGTCCTCAAATCCTATTCCTCATTTGAAAATCAGCAAGTATACATCACATGCACACCGCAAACTCTTTGTTCAGAATATGTGTAATAAATAATTCATTATCTGCCCAAGAGCCCTGATGTGCTACAAGCTAAAATTGTGTAATGATTTTGTGGACAGAAAGATAAGTTTCAATGCACTTTTATATTAATCACTACTTTGAACCCCCTATTGGCTCAGGTAATAAAACACCCAGCTTGAATGAAAATTTACTGTAAAGACGAAAGGTTTCAGGTTTGTTCTCTGTCCGTGCTGTTAGATAATCAGAGTGGGAGTAGGATGACAACAGTTTGCCTTAGTGCCTTGGGCTAGGATGGGGAAAATCAGCTACAATTCCTATGCCTGAGGGAATTCCTTCTGAAAAGTGCTCTTATGTGGATAATGGGCAAAGGCAAGATCAATGTTGTTTTGATAGTTTGCTGACAGTTTGCTTGAAATTCAGGAGCAAAGGTACCAGCACCTTGGGATGTCCTCCTGATGTGAAAGGTGCTACACAAATGTAATTTGTTGTTGTTGACACTTGGTGTTTGGGCTTGCACAAATGGCCATTTGGATTTTGAGGTCCTAATGAGGAAGAGAGAGAGAGAAGGATTGCTTGGGAAACCGACAATCCTCTGAGATTGCAAACAGTCTGTACTAAAGAAGAAAATCTGAGCAGTGGCAGTCAGTTGCAGGGCAGTAATTCAGCTGAACACCTCTGCTGACATTTTAAACCACAAGATCATGGCTGGTGCAATTTATGAACTTCAACTGACTCTGAAATTGGCAGAGGGTTTAATAATAATTAATGGGCTAGTCACACGGTAGGGAGTGTTATCAGACTGGTACCTGGAGAAGAGTGGTGCAAGCAGACACGATACATTTATGGCAACGCTGCTGGAGCAAGAGAGAGCAGTATTTACATAGTTAACCGGTCTCTGAATGAATGTTTGATTTTCAGGGTTAGTTAAGAATGGATGTTATTCCTGGCTTGTTGGGAAAAAAAGGCACTCACGGAGACTAGGAAAAGTTTTTTAAGTTGATTCTGTGGAACTGTAGTTTTGTTATAACCAGTAGTTGAAACGAGCTCCTTCAGAATGATCCTGCATTGCTCCTATTAAACTGAATAGTTTTGTAAAGCTGGACTTGTGTTGCAGATTTTGCGTCAATTTGATATGAAAATTCTGTCAAATTGTCACAAAATCTGTCGTATAACTGGTCTGTAATTGCAGGATTTGATGTGCCTTGTGAGAGTGTGAAATTGACACAAGAAAATAAAATGCATACTGTGTATTATGGAAACATTTACGCAGTTATGAAACTATCCAACCAAAGGCAAATTAACGTATTTGGTTCCAGAGAGGAGGAATGTATGATCTGGTTATCGAAACTTCAGTTGTATGCCTCAGTTTTGTTATGTTAATCAGGTAGTTGTCTTAAAATCTGTGGTTGAAAAATGTAAATGTTGCTGGAGGTCTTTTGGGAGTTTTCCTGGGACTGGTACCCACAGGCAGTGTTGTCAAACTAGTACCTGCCACAGAATGATGCAAGCTCACAGTGTAAACTTAAAACAAGCTTTCAGACAGAGTTAGCCACATGAACACTGCACTGTCTTGTTCAAGCAGAACTGCCTGTCTGAATTTATGTTGTCTGCTTCTACCACTCATTAAACAGTAACAACAATAACATTACATTTATAGAGCGGCTTTCACGTCGGGAGGACGTCCAAAGGCGTTGGACAGTCAGGGGTCAGGACCCGAGCGTGGGGGAGGGGTGGGGTGAGGGAAGGCAGAGAGGTGGGAGAGTGACCAAAGGCACGATTGAAGAGGAGGGTCTTGAGACTGGCCTTGATGGAGGCAAGGGAGGAAGCGAGGCGAAGGGACTGTGGGATGGAGTTCCAGAGCGTGGAGGCAGAGAGGCTGAAAGCCCGGCCACTGATGGTAGAGTGGGTCGGGCAGGAGACTTGGAGCAGGCCGGAACCCGCTGAACGGAGGGAGCGGGTCAGAGAGGTAGGAGGGGGCAAGGCCATAGATGGCCTTGAAAGTGAGGACGAGGATCTTGAATTCGATCCTCTGAGGGATGGGGAGCCAATGGAGTCGGGCGAGGGTGGGAGTGATGGGGTCAAGGAGCCTGGTGAGTGAGACACGAGCTGCAGAGTTGTGGATGATCTGCAGCTTGCGAAGGGAAGAGTTGGGAAGGCCGATAAGGAGGGAATTTCCATAATCAAGCCTTGATGTGACGAATGCGTGGGTGAGGATTTCAACAGCCTGAGGGGTGAAGCAGTGGCGGAGTCTGGCAATGTTGCGGAGGTGTTGGTAGGCAGTGCCAGTCATGGAATGGATGTGGGGGAGAAAGGACAGTTCAAGGTCAAGCACAACACCCAGTTCCTGACTGGCTTAGTGAGATTGAGTGTGCAGCCGTGAATGCTGATTACACCTCAGAGGTGCATTGTTAAGGTGTTTGAAAGTTGCTTTAGTATGTTAGTTATTCACATGCCTTTGGATTTTTTTAGAAGTTGAAATCTTATCCAACAGTACCTTGCATTTATATAGCACCCTTCATGCGGGGGAGCACATAAAAGTCGCAGAGCTTGATTCTGAACCAGTTAGAGAGGGAAGGTGACCCTAGGCATGGAGGAAGAGAAAGATCTTCAGGTATCATCTGAAGATGGACAAGGAGGGGTAAGGCGGAGGAATAGAGGCCGAGAGTTCCAGAGTCTTGGGACTCCACAGGCTCTCGATATATACAATAAAGCAGAATGAAAGTGTGCGAGCAAAATAATATCTTAAAACTGCTGACCATTATCCTGGTTTAAATGTGAAGGAATGGGCAGTACTTCTGAATGAGGCAGTACTTCCGCACTGAGTTAAGGAAAAACTTCTTCACTGAGAGGGTAGTGAATTTATGGAATTCTTTACCCCAAAGGGCTGTAGATGCTCAGTCCTTGAACATATTCAAGACTGAGATTGATAGATTTCTTGTAGATAAAGGGATTAAGAGATATGGGAATAAGGCCGGTAGGTGGAGTTAGAATTGATCAGCCATGATCTTATTGAATGGTGGGGCAGGCTAGAGGGGCCGAATGGCCTACTCCTGCTCCTAATTCTTATGTTCTTATGCTACAATGTGGTTGTAGTGCATGTTAAATTCCTGTTTCTGAAGCCTGCGTTTCCACCTTTGTAATGTTTCAGAAACTGAAGAGCAGGACGAGGAGGAGAATGGAGAGGTGGATTCCAGTGCTGGGCGTTTTGTTCGTTATCAGTTCACTCCTGCCTTTTTGAAGCTAAGAACAGTCGGTGCAACGTGAGTTTTATATTTTTTGCAAAAACGGTATTTGTAAAAATTCATTGTGTATTGTATGCAACATTGCTGAAATACTCAACTCGAGAAGGTAAGTGCCCCCATACCCACCAAAAAAATGTGTAAAGAAATCTAGTGGCAGTGATTTGACTGGCCATAATTTTGAACAACAAAACACAATTTCTACGGTTGATTAGAAGCAGTTGAAGTCTTCCTACTTGCAAGATCTGAGCAAAGCAATCTTGTGATTATACTCGGATAATGTGAATTTGTGTGTTTTGTTTCTATAAAATAATTAGTGGGATTTATTTTTTTCCAGAAACATGCACACACGCCCTTTCCTGGTATATTCTTCAAAACCTTGCAAACTTGCCAAAACTAATCGCGTCTCCTGTTTCTTTTTTTAAAAAAAACAATCGTATTCTGACACAATAATGGTTCTGGTGCGTGAAAGTATCTTGAACGGAAGTTGTCTTGAACGGAACCTGTTCTGACTATATCTTTCTCGTGCTGACACTTTTATTGAATCATAGACGAGTGTAGAGCATCTTGTGCTTTACCGAATGTTCTTTCATTTGCCATACGTACAAAAATAATCGTCACATACCACTTTATTTCAGAGAACTTTCTTTTGTTTAAAATTTAAGTGAGTCTGTTTATTTTCAGTCGTCTTGCTCCCCCATTGGCATGCGCTCTCTAATCATCGTTTGGTCTCCTCTTGCCTGGGTTCCAGTTCCATGGGCACTGGCTGCCCTCTGGTAACCCTCTGGTCTAAATAGCCGTTGTTCAGACATGAGCCTTGGCAGTCAGTGTCAGCAGGTCACTCGACGCGAGAGGATGTCACAGCTGAGCCTGACATCTGCCCACCTGGCTGTCAAACACATGAACAACAACCACTAGAGGGTGCAGGAATCCTAGCTGTTTTCCATAATTCTGGAAAAGCCAAATACAATTTATCCTCCCCAGGCAACCTTGACTGAGACTAGCGAGGACTGAGATTCTAGCCATCAAGCTGACTTGAGAGCAGTTGGCATACACCTAGTTATGAAGTGTATAAATGTTTTTGTTTCCAATTTGGCATGAAACTTGAATAATTAAAGTAGCAGAGGTTGAGTCTCAAATATTTCTGGTGGATGGAAAGTAGCGGTAATGTTTATTCGTTACTCCTATAAATGTAACCTCCCGGAAACCTTTTTTTTAAATCAAAATACATTCACTCTTCTGAAGCAGCCTACTATCTTTTTCTTTTACCGCATTGAATACGTCCTCCTTTTTCCACAGGGTAGAATTTACAGTGGGAGAAAAGCCTATAAATAACTTCCGGATGATTGAACGACATTACTTCAGAGAACAGTTGCTGAAAAGCTTCGATTTTGACTTTGGATTTTGTATTCCGAACAGCAAGAACACATGTGAACATATATACGAATTCCCTCAGCTTTCAGAAGATACTAGTATGTACTTCCAGCTTTTGTATTCTGGAACGCTGCAGTTTGTACAGTTGCATTTACCAGTCTTTGAATTTTAAGAATGGATCTTTCTTTAGAGAATGCATGGGATTTTTATCATACTCCAGGGTATTCATTCCTGTTGCTAGAAGCAGGAACATTTGGGTGTTCAAAATTGAACGGCGCAATAAATTGAGCCAGATTTTTAACTAAACTTTATCAACAACTAACCTTCAAGTATCATTCCTTCAGCAGACCTTCCTTACATTGTGCTTGCTACCCATAGGTCCTGTCTTTAAAAGGTCATGTTGCCCCAGCAATAATAATAATAATCCTTGCATTAGGTACAGCGTCTTTCATGTGGGGAGGACATCCCAAAGTGCTTCACAGGATATATTATAAAGTTCAGTGACCGTTTGTTTTGTGGACGAGGTGAGGATAGGGTAAACATTTCCAAATGGTACAGGACTTCATGATCTGTTTTTTTTAGAAATTTGGAAAATGACTGCATTTGTTGTACCTTAAACTTTGTACCAGTTGTGAAATGTTAGTAGATATTGCAACAGTTTACCATGGGAATCTCTTAGTTCATCTACTAACGGGTCATCTCTGGGGAAGGAACAGAGTGCAACACCTTTAGAGAACTGTCCTTTTTAACAATGTTTGTGCCATCCTGTACTACGTCTTGAATTCTACTATTGGGTGGAGTCCTGTAGCTTCGTGGTTAGAGCATTTGCCTCACAAGCGAGAGACCTGGGTTTGATTCCTGGACAGGGCGAAACGTTGGGCAAGTTTCCTACTTCACTCACTTCCGTTTACCAAGCAGTAAGTAGGAACCCAGTTGTTAGTCGTTTGGTGGATTGCTTTTCCAGGGGTAATAATCCCTTCAAAATAAATAAATAAATAAATAAATTGGTCACTCAATCCATGACTGTTTGTGGTACACTTCTGTGCGCAGTTGGCTGGCGTGTTTCACCCACAAAATATATAGTCAATTCGCTTTACAGTTTATTCTGTGAAGCGCTTTGAGACTTCTCGAAGTCGTGATAAGGCCGTATATCAAATGCAAGGATTATTATTGCTTTATTCTCATTTACACCAATTCTCTTCTGGTATCAACAGAAATTATATATCGACGTTAAGGAATTAATTTATTTTCCCCAAGCTTGTTTCAGCTCCACCGTAACCTATATCACTGCTTTGTAACAGGAGGGAGTAAGAGAACTTTGTGGCCAACTTGTACTTTACTATCTCAACACCAACAAGTGGCACGTAACTAACTTTGTTTATTAAGTGGGACTCTGCCAAAGAACAGTTCTTTTCTTGTTAGGGATCATGATGGTCTGACTGAGAGAATGAACAGAGAGGGCTTGTTTCAAATTAAAATAATTAATGATTTATCCTAATTCAAAACGTTGGTTTCAAATTATAATACCCTGTATTTTTCTCTTGTTTTTTCGTTCAGTCACCGAGATGGTGGAGACTCCGTACGACACACGATCAGATAGTTTTTACTTTGTGGACAACAAGCTGATCATGCACAACAAGGCGGATTATGCATACAATGGAGGACAGTAACGCAACTGTGTTGTGACGTGTATATTCCCAACCATCAGCACTGTCACTTGTCTAAGCCTGCTGTTAACGAGGAGAAGAGTAGCCACCTGACTGTGAATTCATTGTTTTTTTTATCACTTCAGTGCATTCTGCATTCGATTCCAAGTACCAGTGACCGAGACAATTGGGTGGGGGAAGGGGGGCGGGCAGGGGCTCAATTCGACTCGTGTATTTCATTCGCATACTGAATGTAACCATTAATTATACCCAAGACGAATGCGTAGCTGTGATGAAAGATTAATTAGAAATGGGACCTAAGTTTCCATGTACAGGAAGATTCACATGGCTGTGGATGAATGTGGCCTTGCACTATGTTCTCTATTCTAATATGTGAGGGTGGCACAGGTGGTTATTGATTAGAGGACCAAATTATTCAACGTTCTAAAGACTTCCTTTCAACAAAAAAGGGCGCAAAGTTCACATTTTTGTTACAGTAGACTTCAGTTTACTCGGTGACCATACTGAAGTGCTTAAAATCTGCTCTTTCAGCAGAATGAAGAAATGGATCTGAATCCCAAGACTTGAACTTGGTGGGGGGGGGGAAAGAAAAAAAAAATGCTTCTTGACTGTTACACTTGTATGCTGATTAACAGCTTTACTAGGTCAGCCCAGTGGAGGCGATGTAAGGTGTTTTTATTTAAACGGTTTAAAAAATATTGTTGGGGGGGGCGGGGGGGAAAAACACAGGTCTGTTTTTGTACTTCAGTCTCAGGCTTCACACTGACCAGCTGAATGCTTCATTTTGAACAGGATCCTGTAGTAACCAGGTGCGTTTTTTCATGGTACAAATCTGAAGCTGCACAGGACAAATTACCCCATAGAATTTATGGAAGAACTTAGTTTTGGCATACTTTTAACGGTTAGAGTCTAACCCATTGTGTAGAAAGTTCCATTATATTGAGAGCTTGTTCTTGCCTTGCTACTGATCTTGACCTGCAAATAAACTGCAATACTTCTGAGTTGTCATTTAAATGTAGATGTCTAAACTAAAAAAAACTTAGAATTTATTTCGCATCACAACCCCCTTAGGAAGTAGTATTTATTAACTCTTTGTTTGTACTTTACCTGACAAAATCCTTCTGTTTAATCACAAGAGATGATGCAGCAGTGTTTACAAGCCAGAAGCTTAACATAAGGGGACACACAACACTCCTGCCAGGAAATTGGTCTGAGATTGCAAAAGCTGACATTGTATTTTTGGTCTGCAATTTGAATGTGATTGACACTGTGTGACATTGACATGATTGAATGTATTTGCCAATGTCATAAACTGATTAGGTTTTTGTTTCTGGTAGGAAATGTACTGCTTTCCTTCTGTTAAACATACCATTAGGTCAAACATGTAATTCTGGGTTTCTCTGGCTCTTCCTGCTTCACCTGGGGAAAAAATGCAAAGCATTTAATTAACGCACCCTTGTATGATTATCTCCCTATCATATCTGGTGTTCACTTATGCCTAAAACTTAACATTGCAAGCGTTGAACATTTCTTTTCTCTGCAGTGTCAGCATAGATTGCTCTCCATTGCTCTTAAGAGCTTAACTTGGCTTGGCGAGCTTGTTATGGGTTTTAACAGACTGGTGATTAGACTTTTGCAGCGTTTGTGCTTTTGAGAAGAGGATTGCACATTGAAACACCAATCACTAAATATTTAAGATCCACAAGCATGTTGCACTGATGGTATTCCTAAACACTGGGTTGATAGCAGAATCTGCCTTGTAAAGCAATTCATTAATCAATCAATCAAAAGCCACTGCTTTGGGTCGAGTATAAAGCCAGAGTCTGATGATGTGAACTGCCTTTTTATATTGCAAATTACCTACATTAGTTCCAGGTCAAAGATGACTTGTTGGATTAGTATTCTTAGAGTATATGATTTGGTACTTAGCAAACTTTTTTTAAAAAATAAAATCTTGGAGCATATTGATGAAGCAATTCTATATTAATGCTTGTTCCTGGATCTCATTCATTCTCCAAAAGACTGACTTTTTTTTAAGTGCACTTTTACAATAGGTGTTTTTTTCAATAAATAACTGAAAGATTAATAGGTGGATAGAAGTTAATTTTTTTTTAGGAATATCGTTTGAATGGAGCAATTGGACACTGAATTCATTGAGTTTCTCTGTTTGAATGTTTAAGCTGATGGTCAATAACTAGTGAGTGACCTTAACATCAGCTGTATTTCTCTCCCAGTTTCAGACCCTATTGCCCCCAATAATGGAATCCTGCAGCTCAGCGGTTAGAGCACTTGCCTCGTAAGCAAGAGACCTGGGTTTGATACCTGACAGTGTGAAACGTTGAGCAAGTTTCCTTACTCCACAGGCCTGTTCACCGAGCAGTAAGTAGGAACCCGGTCGTTAGTTGATTAGCGGATCGCTTTTCTGTGGGTAATAATTCCTTTTTTGAAAATAAAGTAATAAATTGGTCACTCAATCCACCACTGTTTGTTGGACACTGCTGTGTGCAATTGGCTGCCGAGTTTCGCCCGCAAAATATCAGTCAATTCCCTTTACGGTATATTCTAATACGCTGTTTTGAGACGTCTTGAAGACGTGATAAGGTGCTATGTCAAATGCAATGATTATATTACCCAAATTACCTCCAAGCATACAGTGAAAATAATTGCTTTATGCCCATCTACTTTCATCTGACAGTCATTTCCAATTGAAAATGAAGATAAATTGGTAGTTTGATCATCGCAAATTATCCCAGTCAGTACTGAAATCCAAGAGACTCCAATGTGAAGCGTTGCCTCTGTACTGGTAAGCAATCAATGAATTTGTTCTTTGTACTTCATGATAACCTGTCTAGCAGGAAAACCTGTGGTGTCTGGCTTTTGAGGTTCAACTTCCTTTCTTTCTCACTCACCTCCCTTTCCAGACTGAAGAGTATTCACTTTCTTGTAAGACTAAATGGTGTATCCTATTGATAATGTCCAACTGGGTTTGGTAGGTTCACGTAGACTTTGTGTTTCTGGAAAGCAGTACATCACGGTTACACTTTTTATATTCTAGATGATTCATGCAATTCAGCTCTTGTGACTTAAAGATGACTTTTCTGGCCTACAATTTGGTCCTATAACGTGAAACTAGATCGGGTTGTTGAAAAATGGTCACTTTCAGAGAAGGGAGAGGTTCAACTTTGTTACATGAAGGTGAGAGGTGGTGAAGGACATGTGCAAGATGAATCCAATTGAAAAGTTACGGTGGGAGAACTGTGCGATTATAGTGTAGCTTCTAATCATGTTCACAGCCCATTTCTCGGCTTGACCAGTCCGCTTGTTCCGCAAGTTGAAACTGAAATGTTGCCTACGGTTTCTTTTTGTTTCGTTGCTGTTCTCAAACTGTATAGTTTGTTTCCATTATTCACACCAGTTTGAGTCGGTCCAAAGTGCTTTAAGAAGGACAATAAATGTAACTGAGTAAATTGTTATATTTTTGAACTTGATAAAATGTTTATTTTCACAGGCTACGTGTAAGGTGCATCGATTCACATTTGCGACTTCGATGCTTTGTAATTGCATTAGTATCCGATTGTATTTTGTAACCGCCCGTCTTCAGATTTTTCACGTTTTAAAAGTGATTAGATGCCTTGTTTGTACAAAATGTTTATACTTTGGCGCAAAAGGGGGCAGTAAATAAAGATGTTAAATTTTCATCTTTTTTTAAACCCAAAAAAAAGGTCTGCACACACGATGGCAACTCCCAACCATTAAATTCACATTAATTCACATAAATTCAGAATAGGCTTTGGGCAAAGGGAGGGGGTGGGGGTGGGGAGAGGGGGAGAGAGAGGCAGGTGACAATTTTAAATGTCCAATAAAGGGAATTAAAATTAACCTTTGTAGCCCAGAGCCAAAGAGTAGCCCAAAAGTAGTCCAACATGTGTGGCCAAGCTTCACTGTACAGGTAGCAGAAATGGTTTGGGAAACTGGAAGAAAGGCTCTTAAAAGAGAGAGGGGACACACACACACACTCACACACACATATATATATATTTTTTTGCAGGTATCCATTAAAAAAAAATTAAGCAGCGGCTCCAAAGCCCAAACATAAACTAAAACGCGCCCAAAGCCGCCCAATCTGACAACGTTGCGGAACGGGAGAGCCGCGGACTGTGCGGTCCGGGGGAAGGGAGAGCGGGAGGGACCCGGGACCCGGACAGCGGGAATGGCGGCACTGCTGCGGAGAGTCGCCGGAACTGCGAGTGAGTGTCAGTTCCCGCGGGCAGGAGGTGGGGGAACCCCCCCGAGACTCCCCCCCCCCTCCCCCCCCCCCGAGACTCCCCCCCTCTCCCGAGACCCCCCCTCCCCCCGAGACTCCCCCCCCCCCCTTCCCCCCCCCGAGACTCCCCCCCCCCCCCCCCTCCCCCCCCCGAGACTCCCCCCCCTCTCCCCCCCCCGAGACCCCCCCCCCTCCCGAGACTCCCCCCTCCCCCGAGACTCCACTCCCCCCTCCCCCCCCCGAGACTCCCCCCTCCCCGAGACTCCACTCCCACCCACTCCCCCCCCCCGAGACCCCCCCCTCCCCCCGAGACTCCCCCCTCCCCCGAGACTCCACTCCCCCCCCCCCCCCCCCGAGACTCCCCCCCCCCCCCCCCCCCCGAGACTCCCCCCCGCCCCCCCCCCCCCCCCCCCCCCCGAGACTCCCCCCCCCTCCCCGAGACTCCCCCCTCCCGAGACTCCCCCCCCCCCCCCCGAGACTCCACTCGCCCGAGACTCCCCCCCCCCCCCCCCAGACTCCCCCAGACACTCCCACCTCCGTCCTGGGCACTCGACTTGTCACCCACTTTCTGGTCTCAGCACCTTCTGCCCCCCCCCCCCCCCACTCTCTCTCCTCACAGGTGGGGGTGGGGGGGAGTGGAGTCCGACCCTCTCCAGACTTACTGAAGCGGTGGAGTCCTGTAGCTCAGCGGCCGGAGCCCTCGGCCGGCAAGCGAGAGAGACCCGGGGATTGATTCCCGGGGGTGGGGTGGGGGGGTGCACTACCCAACCCTGGGCAAGTCTCCCCGCTCCACGCGCCTCTGTTTACCCGGCGGTGAGCTGGAACCCGGTTGTTAGTCGGTTGGCGGATTGTTTTCCGGGGGGTAATAATCCCTCCAAACAAAAATAATAATAATAAATTGGTCATTTCGATCCACGGCTGTTTGCGGGGACGTCGCTGTGCGCCACCGGTTCGCCGCGTTTCGCCCACAAAATACGCAGTCAATTCCACTCTACGACGTATCCCTTTACGAAGCGTTTTGAGACGTCTCGAAGACGTGATAAGGCGCTGTGTCAAATGCGAGGATTATTATTATTATTGTTATGAGCTCCCTCTAAACTTTCTCAACGCCTTTCAAATAAATAATGGGGTAATGCGTTCCTTTCAAAATAAACAAATAAATAAAAATAACAATCAATTGGTCATCACTCAATCCACGTTTGTGGGGCACTGCTGTGCGCAGCCGTGGACTGCTGTGTTTCGCCCACGATTCTGTGAAGCGCTTTGAGACGTCTCAAAGACGTGATGAGGCGTTATATCAAATGCGAGGATTATTATTTTTATTATTTGCTCTCTTAAACTTAACTGCTGTTGCTTTTTCCCTTCCCCATCAAAAGCAAATCGGAGAGTCCTTCAGTGTGAAGCAACCAAATTGCAAATTAACTGTACATTTTTAAAAAATCTTAAGTACAGTATTGGAGTGGGAATATGAGAGAGAGAGAGAGAGAGAGAGAGGGGACTAGAGGGGCGTAATTGAGGGAATAGTATGGGTTGTGGAGGCTTCTGTCAATAATAAACACTGATGCAGTGAATGGCTTATGTCCAGCGTGTGATGATGAAGATAATAATAATAATAATCCTTGCATTTGATATAGCGCTTTTCACGTCGGGAGGACGTCCCAAAGCGCTTCACAGAACACACTGTATAGTGAATTGACTGTATATTTGTGGGCGAACGCGGCAGCCAATTGCGCACAGCAATGTCCCACAAACAGTCGTGGATTGAAAATGACCAATTTATTATTGTTTTTGGTTTGGAAGGGATTATTATTAGGCTCTGTGTGGAGTAAGGAAACTTGCCCAAGGTTTCGCCCTCTGCCTGGAATTGAACTCAGGTCTCTCACTTGCAAAGCGAGTGCTCTAACCACTGACCTTTTGCCTCATTTAAACACAGTCACTTTAAACACACTTTACAATATATCCTGCAAAGCGCTTTGGGGCGTCCACCTGACCTGAGAGGCGTTATGCCAAATGTAAGGAATTATTAATTGATCTCGTCCTTCCAAAGCACCCACCTTACCGTCCTCCCATTTTGGCATTAAGTGATTTCTTAAAGAGTCTTAAGTGGCAAATACTTAATTGATAAATACAGCTGCCACAGGGCTGCTGCGTGTCCCCAGACGCCTCAGTGTCACCGTCGGTGCCTTCAGCCACTACCCTCCTACCCACTGGAATCCCCTGCCTCGATCCCTCTGCATCACCCTCTTCATTATCTTTAAATCCCACCTGAAGACCTACCTCTTTGACTGCTCCTATGATCACCTCCCTCTGCCCCTCCTCTTCTTGCCCAGCATCCAAATCTGCCACTGTACAGCACTTCAGGTGTGAAAGGTGCTGCATGAATGTAAGCTGTTGATGATAAGTTTGTAATCACAGAGCTACAAGGGTTTGATTAAAAATTGACAGCTCCGATGGTGCAGTGAATAGAGTTCCAGCTTACTGATTTGAATCCCAGTCCGTATCTAGTTGCTGGGCTGTGGTCACGTTTGGGAACGAAAGTGGCCCCAATCTTCAAATGGGAGAGGTCAGGCTTGCCTGTGAAATCCTATTCAATTAAATGGCCTGTTGCCACTCACTGTCAAGGCTCACACATGGATGATGATCATTTTGGCAGCAGTGGGGGCTGGTCCCATAGGGTAATGTGCATGTCATAAGAGCAGAAGAATTTGTTAGGTGAAAGAAGACCAAGGTCCATTTAGTTTGCCTTCTACCAGGGTGTCATTACCTGCTCAGCGCCTTGGGACGTCCTCCCGACGTGAAAGGCACTATACAAATGTAACCTTGTTGTTGTTGTTGCTCAGTCGTTTGACTGACGCCCCATCAAGCTGTTTATTGAGTTCAGCATCCTGGCCTCCATCATGAGGGGTGTAAGAAGCAGGTGGTATCACAACATAAAGCGCTCCTGAAATACTGTTGGGACTCTAACCCACTTGCCTTCAGCACGGAGATCATCATCTTGGTTGGAACGGGTTTCCTTCTGTTCCTAGAATTGATCAAGATGCTACTCTGGAGGGTTAAAACAGAACTGGGAGCGAGTACAGTGGTTTCTGATTGTTTGTGCTTTTCTCTTGTTTAGCCTTGAGGTCAGGATGTCTGCGTAAACTCCACTCAGTGTATCAGACAGCCGAGCTTCCTGACACCCATCAGCTCTTACGGGACACGTGCAGAGCTTTTGCAGAGAAGGAGCTGGCTCCGATTGCGGCTCAATTAGACAGAGAGCACAAATTCCCCGCTGAGCAGGTAATGACACCCTTTGTGGTAATCTTTCTAACTCCATGTCAATCGAATACTTGCCAAATGTGGCTTCATAACTGCAAGATATCATACAGAAATCCAGCTTCTAAATGACGGTGATAATAATCCTTGCATTTGACATAGCCTCTTATCACCTTATTGAGACGTCTCAAAGTGCTTCACAGAATATATTGTAAAGTGGATTGACTGCGTATTGTGTGGGCGGAATGAAGAGTAGAGCCCTGTTATAACGTGATTCGTTTATATTGCGTTACGGATCCCGACATGTACTCCAAAGTGCGGGCAGAACGCTGGCCAGCTCGCTTCAAAATGGGTCATCGTGGGAAGACGTCTTTTGAGACACAACAAGGCGAGAAACGAAATGTGTTTTGAGTCGCAATCAAAACGTGAGACTGCGCTCCATGACATAGACGGGAATGGGCGGCTCTCTGAACGCCTGCACTAGTGTAAACGGGGCAAATCCACTGGGTAAATAAATGGAACTCGTTCTGTAATCTTTTGGGATGTAAACATTGCATTCGTCTTCCGGTGAGGGACACCCAGATTGTTCACTCTGCCTGGTCCCTTTGCCCAGTTGCAACTGATTGAATCACCTGCCGTGCTGTTCTACCCGCTGTTTCTCTTCTGTCTCCTCCCAAGTGCCTTTGACCCCAGAGACGCAAATCACTTTCTGACTGATGTTGTTCCTCTTGTTTTCATGATTGCCGTCAATCAATGTGTTTCCACCTCCCACGGGCCCTTCTCTAAGATGTCGAAGTCCTTGTCTTAGCTCCGACGCAAATCTTTTACTTTCTCTTGTTCACGAGCCACTTCACATCTGATCAACTCATCACTTAACCTATCGCTCTATTGATTCAACATTACTTTGAATTGCCCTGCTTATCATCCACGCTTAAGTTAAGAAATTTCTCCGCCTTTACCCCCTCCCCCCCACAACTTCCCGATGAGAGTGACATAATTAAATTTATTGACTTATTTAGTACAGGACAACATTGTTACAAGGTGATCCTCTGGGTCCAATCTCTCAGTAGTATTAAAAAAAGCCTGACTTCGGAGTAAAATGGCTGACGTCTGAATCGTCAGGTCGCTGCTGATATAATTTCCTGTTTGCTGTTTGCCGATGCTGTTGACCACATTGTCAAGGTGTCCTGTTTTGTGGCGACATATTCACTAGAACAGTAGTTCTAGTGGTTATGGATCCTGCTGTACCTTTGCAGAAACCAATAGCTATATACTAGAACAAATGTAAATACTGTCGTGGTCGAGAAAGCGATTTAGTCACACAGCAAGCAGAGCAAAGAGCAGGTGCTTCCTTATGGGGAGGGAAAATCCGAGAGCAAACTGACTGAGCCTTTGTCTGTAAATCTCCTAGCATTTGGCTGCAGAGTTATTGGTGAAAGGGGATTTGAGAGCAAGTCAGAGGAGTGTGGTGGGGAAGGGAAATAAAAATAATTTTAAAAGTTAACAGTGGTAATAAATAATGCTCCTTGCACAGTGGTATTTCTCTGTGCTTTCATTGCACATGCGTAGCATTGCATGACTGCCTCTGTGATAATTAGGCACTATGAGTTCACTCATTGTGAAAAGAAAAATATGGGATCACACAAGAAGCCCCTCGGGTATTTGGCCATAACACTGAAAGCCTTTGAGCTTTACTCACGTGAAGTTTGCAAGAGCAAAGCACTGACTTACTGAAAGTTGCCAAAACAGGGTCTGACTGCTAGTGTCTGTTGTGAAAGTGCTTCATAGGATTTACTGTAAAGTGTAGTAGTAACCTGTGTAATTGTAGGCCACAGATTGTATGCCACAAACAGCCAAGAAGTGAGTGACTAATTTTATCATAGAATCTTACAGCACAGAAGAAGGTCATTCGGCCCATTGTGCCTCATTGAAAGAGCTAACCAAGTAGTCCTCCTCCCCCGCTCTCACCCCATTGCCCTGCAATATTTCAAGTACCCATTCAGTATAGAGTTGCCGTAACCATCCAATATAGGGGGGGGGGGTGGGATTGTTGGCTAGGACACCAGGAGAAACTTGCTTTCTCTTTTCGAATAGTGCTATGGCATCTTTAATGTTCACCTGAGCAAGCAGACAGGACCTGGGGGTCAACATCTCATCTGAAGGTCGGCAATCCATAAGGTCGGGAGTATCAGCCCAGACTGTATGAGTTCAAAGTTCCGATGTGGGGTTTGAACCCACAGCCTTCTGACTCGGAGGTGAGAGAGCTACCACCTAAACCAGGCTGACACCTAGAAAAAGGCAAGCAGCCTCAGTGAATGAAGCTGTTCCTCTTGCTGTAATTGAACATGATGTGCTCCCTATGTGTTGCACAGTATATATGGGCTGCAGGTATAATTATTTCGACATTTTAGGTGTGCGTTTGTACAGTTCACCTTGTAATGATACATTTCCTCAATCTCATTCCCAGGTAAAGAAAATGGGGGAACTCGGACTTTTAGCAATCGATGTGCCTGAAAAGTATGGAGGAACTGGCTTAGACTATCTGGCTTATGTCATTGCTATCGAGGAGATCAGCCGGGGCTGTGCTTCCTCAGGCGTCATTTTGAGTGTGAACAATGTAAGTCTGCGTCGGGATTATTAATGCCTAATCAAGTGAAACGCTTCCACCTTGCTGTTAAATGTGAAATAAGTCATTTGTTCAATCCTAGAACATATTAGGCGAAAGGTTGGTGAGAGCCAAGGCTTGGGGACCCCAGAGCATGCATTTGGGTAACTGCTGGAGTCTAACCAGCTAAAACCGCACAACTTGCTAGTGAGAGCATTGTCCGGCAAGCTTCCTGCTGTGTATCCAGCTGGGACCATCCTCCCTGTTAGGGCTTTGGTTAACTGGACGTGAGTGGGAAGAATCCCAACTCCCAGGCCAAGTCCTGCTGACGAGTCAGGCTGGCTGCTCTGTCCTCAGCAGTGCCTTTGGGGAGTGCTCACCCGCCCGGCTCAGAAACTAGAATGCCAAGTCTGCCAAAGAGGGTTAAGGTGATTCATTTGACTTGTTAATCTTCGACCGTCGTGGCTGCGGTCACCTCCTCCCTCCCACGGGCTGGTTGGGTGGTGGGGGGGGGTTGTGCTCCGCCACTGGCAAGCGCTCCGGTATGCTATCCTGTGCGAGGGGCGTCGTGCAAACGCAAGTCGAAGCTGTTATTAATACGAAATAATCTCGCAAATAAAATACCCTCTTTTTCCAGTCTTTATATTTAGGTCCAATTTTGAAATTTGGCTCGGAAGAACAGAAGCAGAAGTGGATAACCCCGTTCACAAATGGAACTAAAATTGGGTGTTTTGCTCTGAGTGAACCAGGTAACCAAGTCCCTTCCCTGCAAGTGCACTTTCTCTTTCAATTAAAGAGAGAACTCTCGACAACCCCATTATAATGAATTGTTGCTTGTGGCCCTTTTCTGTGTTTGTTGGTAACACGACGGTTACCAACGAACAGTTGGGAACAAAGCCTGTTGTTAGAGCCCTGGAGCCATTGACCTATGAATTTGAACCGTACTGCGTGTCTGTATTGATGGTCGCTACTTGGCGAGCTCCTAATTTTATCCTGGATGCCCCACCTAAGGTGGAGGTGAAAAAAAAATCTTTAACCAGAGTGCTTCTTCAGTGTAATAGAGCTGCTTCATTTCCAGTGTGGATGTTCGATTAGCCTCGTTTCCTAATAGCTTTCATTTACTCTCTCTTCTTTGATAGAGCATTGAATCGCACCTCTGAGAGCATCTCACAGTTGAGAGGAATGAGAAGGGAGTTCCGTGTGGCAGTGGGGCCTAGTAAATATCCATTTTCTAGACCCTTAGTGTGTTAGAGTAGCGATATGTATACAAAGTAAAACAATCCCAAAATTTGGTCACTCAACACACGACTGTTTGTGAGACACTGCTGTGCGCAATTGGCTGCTGTGTTTCACCCACAAGATGCACAGTCACTCTACTTTACAAGATATTCTGTGAAGCGCTTTGAGATGGCTCAATGACGTGATAAAGTCCCATATCAAATGCAAGGATTATTATATATATATATAAATATATATATATATAACTGCTTATAGTGTGCTCTAATGATAATAATAATCCTTGCATTTGATATAGCACACACGTCTCAAAGCGCTTCACAGGATATAATGTAAAGTGAATAGACTGTATATTTTGTGGGTGAAACGAGGCACCCAATTGCGCCCAGCAGATATAGTGAGATATATATAATATATAAGGTTTATTTCCAGTGCTGCAGAGTGTATACAGTATTTGAGAATTTATAATTGTTAAATCAGTTTAAATTCACTCCTAGAGTAATATATTCTTCCTCCTCCCCCTCACCACCGTGAACACCCTGTGTTTGCATTAGCGTGCTTCACATGGGGGAGGGGAGTAAGAGTGTCGGAGCAAGTAGAGGCAGCACAACGCAAATGCAATTTAAAAAAAAAATATATATATAGTTTCAAGTGGATTGTGCTGTGTGTCGGTGAGAAGGAGCTGTGTTTGAGATTGTGGATAACATGGATCGCTGACATTAGCTATCCCGAGAAAAAGCATTTGTGTTGCACGGGGCACGCGGTCTCCCATTATCTCAAACAGCAAGTGGTTGTCAGAGTAAACGGTATCTGTGAGGAGAAACCAGTGAAATGGTAAAGCATTTACAGATCACCTGTCTCGCTGCTGTATTCATCGCTCCAAAGAGCTTCTGCATCCTGTTGATATACCCCCAACTGCATCCCCATAATAGTACAGAGGAGCGTCACAACAAATCATTTTAATTACGTTGCCTGCTGGAAAACAATTACGTCACTCGACGCTTCATGCTTAGTGCCACAAAGGTATGTTTAGGGCGTTTCAGGTTTACTGATGAACATGAGGGAACAGAAAAAAGACGAAAGCTGGTGACGTTATCATTCTCTCGCTCGCTTGCTCCTCACGCTCAAACAATAATCCTTTTAACTTGTCACAGTGTAATTCTTGCCTATATTTTGCCCCACAAAATAGACAGTCAATCCACTTCACGATGCATTGTGAAGCATTTTGAGATGTATCAATGACGTGACCCGGCGCAATATCATTATTATTATGATTATTATTATTACTGTGTTGTGTGTTTGAAGTTAATTTGGCTTTCGTGAAGGCTCCTCGTTGTATAACTTTCCTGGCGCGTTGCTTAATTTGGTACCACTGCATCCTGCAGGGAATGGAAGTGATGCTGGTGCAGCCTCCACCACAGCCAGGCTAGATGGCGATCACTGGATTTTAAACGGCACGAAGGCCTGGATCACTAACAGTTGGGATGCTTGTGCTGCAATTGTTTTTGCCACCACCGACAAGTCGCTCAAGCATAAGGTGAGCGCAAGTTACCGCCAATTCTCGTCCAATTTACCGTCCCATTGGCGTTGTGAGTTGTCATTGAAATAAACTTATTTCCAATACAGGGATTAACAAATGTCTTGTGGATAGCAATAGGTCCATAGAGTCCTGTAGTGTATTGGTGAGAACACTCTCTTCGCAAACGAGAGGACCCGGGTTTGATTCCCGGGCAGGGTGAAACCTTAGGCAAGTTTCCTAACTCGGCTTGCCTCTGTTTACCCAGCAGTAAGTAGGAACCCAGTTGTTAGTCGATTGGTTGATCTCTTTTCCGGGGGGAATAATCACACCAAATAAGTTTTAAAAAATAATAATGTGGTCACTCAATCCGCGACTGTTTGTTGAACGTCGCTGTGTCCAATTAGCTCCCGCATTTCGCCCACAAAACACGCAGTCAATTCACTTTACAGTATATTCTGTGAAGCGCTGGACGATGTGATAAGGCGCTATATCAAGTGCAAGGATTATTATTTTTACAGTTACACTATAAATCAGGTTTGGGGGACATTGCTTTGGTTCCAGGTACTGTTCCTAAAAGCCACCCTTGAGGTATTAAATCGATGCACCAACTTCAGCCGAGAAAGAATTAAACCCCATTTGTGTCCGTTCCAGTGACATTTTGGCAGTGGCTCAGTGATCTGCCTCAAGCAACAAAAAAAATTGCAATAGTGCCTTCTGCGTAGGAGAACATCTCAAAGCGCTTTCGATGTGCTGTGCAGCGTAAAGTGTTTCTTCACTGCACTTCGCATCAACCGTGAGCTGATTTGCAACAACAAGACCAGCAGGTGGTGCACCATGACAGTTGGTTTGATTCCCGGTGATAAAGCTGATGAATTCAGAGCTGTATTAGCAAAGTAGCAGAACACTCTCTTTAATGATCCAAGCTGCCTCATGCCACATGCGCCATGCTGAGCTGGAACCTGGATATATATCACTTCCAGTAATAGAGCGATGCAGAGCGGGAAGCCTGATATCAACGGCACAGAAGGAGGCCATTTCCCTCGTCGTGCCTGTGCTGGTTTATTTGGAAGAGCTAATCCCAACTAGTCCCACTCCCCCGCTCTTACCCCAGAGCCCTGCAAATGTTTCCTCTTCAAATACCTCTCCGATTCCCCTTTGAAAGCCATTATCGAATCTGTTTCCACCCCCTCTTTCAGGCAGTTTCCAGATTGTAACAACTTCCTGGGTTTAAAAAAAATCCCTCATAATTTTGAACCTCTCAATAAAGGGAGAGGTTTCGCTTTGCTTATCAGGTTGGCCTGGTGTCGGGGTGGTGGAGTGGGTGGCTGATAAGATTGAGGTTGATATCTGAGTTCCGCACAAGCACACACACATTCGCTTTGGCAGAATTTAACTGATTCTGGGTCAGGTTTTGAAAGCATTTGGAACAATGGCTTTTTACAAGTTTTCGAGTGGCCCAAAAAGCTTTTAAAAAGGCATTTGGCAGTGGAACCGGAATCGCACACCTGCTGATTTTAAATGCCACTGTGCACATTAAAGCTGTTATTGAAAGTGCCTCTTAAAGGTGGTCTCCGCAGCAGGTTTCAAACCTACTTGACGCTGCACAGAAATCATTTTTATCTTATACTTTGTAGATGATGGTCGGCTTTTGGACGAGGGAATGAAAGGCTTACAGTTGACCAGGTCCTTTATTAACAGGTGATTTTTACTCTCTTAGATGAAGCTTTGGAACTCTCTCCCACAATCCCTCCATCTTGCCACCTCTTCACCTCCAAGACTCTGTCCCCCGTGAAGGCCGCTGTATAAATACAAGCTGTTGCTGAAGTCTAGACTCTGTTAGATCGTCCAGAGGCAGGAATGCTAGCACCACTGTTAAATGACTCAAGTGGCTGCAACATGCAGTTTATTTATAGTGGAATAGAAAGGCAGAACAGCTTGTATTACAGTGGAGAAAATTGTCTGTAGTTATGCCTCTGCAAAAAGACATTACAAATCTGACATTTTTTAAAAGGTTAACATTTTTTATCCCCACCCCCAAAAAAGAGACAATTTAAAAGAATGCCCACATCCGGGGCACAGTGTCTTCTCGCTAAAACTAATTAGATTTTATTTTAATCTCATTAAATATAGAATCACTTTAAGCATTGCCCAGTGCCACTAATCAATTTATGATTTCAGCATGCTCAAACTGCCAGTGACTGTAAACAAGAACTACTCTGTTTGTTCTAAATTGACCAGAGGCTGTGCCGTGTATACCCAGCATTGTGGTCTAATCATAAAACCTAGATTTTATTTTTACTATCAGAAACAGGCCATGCAGCCCATCGGGGCTGCTCTGTGAATCACCCAATTTAATCGTGCTCTCCTGCTCGCATCCCATACCCTTTAATACTCCTCTTTTCCAACACCCATCCATTTTGCCCACGTAATTTACACCACAAGTCAAACGTTTTGCAATGTCTCAATGACATTATAAGGTGCTATGTTGATACCAGGAGAGAATTGGTGCAAATGAGAATAAACAACAACAAGAAGATTACATTGTATAGCGCCTTTCACGTCGGGAGGACGTCCCAAGGCACTGGACAGAGTGCATCATTTCAGACCCAAGCTGGGGTTGGGGAGGTAAGGGAGGGGAGGGGAAGGGGGGTGGCCGTTGGCATGGTTGAAAAGGAGGGTCTTGGGGCGGGACTTGAAGGAGGCTTAGGAGGGGGCAAGGCGGAGTGACTGGGGGGTGGAATGGTGGGGCGGGTGGGTCGGGGGACGTGGACCGGGCCAGAGCCGGCTGAGCGGAGGGAACGGGCGGGTTGGTAGAGGGTTAGGAGGTCGCAGAGGTAGGGTGGGGTGAGGCCATGGAGGACTTTGTATGTGAGGACCAGGATCTTGAACTGGATCCTCTGAAGGATTGGGAGCCAGTGGAGTCGGGCGAGAGTGGGGGAGATGGGGTCATGGAGGTTGGTGCGGGAGAGGATACGGGCTGCAGAGTTCTGGATTATCTGCAGCCTGTGGAGGGAGGAGTTGGGAAGGCCGACACGCAGGGCGTTTGCATAGTCGAGCCTGGAGGTGATGAAGGCATGAACAAGAGTTTCAGTGGCCTGAGGTAGTGGCGGAGTCGGGCAATGTTACGGAGTTGAGGGAAGGCAGAGCGGGTCATGGCTTGAATGTGGGGGAGAAAAGACAGTTGAGGGTCGAACAAGACACTTCGGTTCCTGACTGGCTGGTGAGCTGTAGTATGTAACCGTGGAGGTTGATGCTGCCAGAGCCTGAGGTGCAGAGGCGCTGGCGCGAGCAATCAGGAGGGCCTCAGTCCTGTTCACATTCAACTGAAGGAAACTTGCCCTCATCCAGGACCTGATGTCCGACAGACAGTCTGTCAGGACAGCAGTGGTCCTGGAGTTGAGGGTGGAGGCAGAAAGAGAAGAGTTGGGTGTCATCCGCATACATGTGGAAGTTGACCCCATGTCTGTGGATGATGTCACCAAGAGGGAGCATGTAGATATTATAGAGGAGACGAGAACAGCGGCCTGGGGGACGCCAGATGTGACAGTGCAGGGGCTGGAGGGGAAACCGTTAGAGTCAACGAAGAATAAAGCAATAATAATCCTTACATCTGATATAGCAGCTTATCACATCATTGAGACGTCTCAAAGCGCTTCACAGAATATACTGTAAAGTGAATTATATTGTGGGCGAAACAAGGCAGCCAATTGTACACAGCATTTTTTCATTTTCAACACAAATGTTTTTTATTACTCGAGTTGTATTTTTATCACTAAACTGGAAGCTGCTATTTTTGTAAAATTTGTTTAGAAATTCTGCCTGGAAAATAGAAATGTGTAGGTGAAGCTCAGGATACTGATAACTTTGAAGTACTTTGCTGGGTACATAAAATGCTCAGTAAAATCATGCTGGGGTGGCAAGGAGCCAGAGTGTAATAGACTTCTGATGTCCCTCAATAATTCTAGCTAAATCAGGAATGGCTTCAAATGCTCTTGAATCTCTGGGTAATGGGAATAAAGTTCCCGTCAACAGTCAATGTCTGGGGAGAAGTTCTGTTGTTGGCAACAGAAATTAAGTTAATTAGAAAAAATGAACTACTTTTGTGCGACACACAGGTGGGTCATTTGTACTTAGCTTTGCACTAGATTTCCTGATTAAAGTTATAAGAATATTACTACTTCTGGTATTATAATAATAATCCTTACATTTGGTACTGCACCTTTCACATTGTTTCAAAGCGCTCACAAAATAAACCGTAAAGTCTAGCGACTGTGTGTTTTGCGGGTGAATTTTTTTTCTATTAAGAAAGGTTAAAGATTTAAAGCTATGGTTATTGCCAGTATTTCTTGGCAATGTGAAATCCTGACATTTTGTTTGCATAATTTGGATCGCATCTATCACCCCTGTGGCCATAAGGTCACAGATTAAATCTTAACTGAATTAGTAGAAGATTTTTCATGAAGCGTTTGTGAGTGATGATCTCATGGTGAGTGATCTGGTCAGAAGTAATTGTTGCGAAACATTTAAGGTCATGTTAGACTTCTTGTTATTTGGTCTTGTGTTATTGGAATACAATCCCTTTTTCTAAACAAAATATGTCAATGGATTGTCAGTCTATTACAGTAACATGAACAGTTTATTATATTACATCTCGCCCACTGTAATACACAGTCAATCCACTTTGCAATATATTCTGCGAAGAGCTTTGAGACGTCTCAACAACGTGATAAGGCGCTATATCAAATGCAAGGATTATTATTACTATGAAGTATGGGATGGGGAGATGCTGAACTCCTCTGCATCCGGGCTATGAGATGGCTTGCTGACTGATGCCTTTTCATTGCACATTGCCTTTTCAAACGAGAGGCCTCCTCGTCTGCCGTTTCAATGGGAAGTGAAATAAATGAAGGGCCTGTTGCTTAAATCAAAAAGTGTTGCAGCTCATTTTGAATGCATTGTTGTTGTATATTCAGATGTGTTGAACTTCGGAACATTTCAGACATTGTAAATAGGGTATGCTAGCCTGGTCTGCAGTGGTCCTCCAGCAGGAACTGTGGTTGCTCCTGAGTGCTGCAAGCGGTGTTGCTGTTCCTCCGAATATCTTCATGGTTTTTTAAAAAAAATGCAGTTACTCAATCCACGATTGTTTGTGGGACACTGCTGTGTGCAATTAATTGGCTGCCGCATTTCGCCCATAAAATACGCAGGCAATCCACCATAGAATACATTCCGCGAAGTGCTTTCAGACGTCTCGATGACGTGATAAGGCGCTATATCAAATGCGAGGATTCTTATTATTTTATTATTCTTGTGGAAGACAAATCTACTGTATTTTTATGGAGGCTGACAGTAGGTAAGTGTTAAAAGACTGCGAGTGCACTGTTCCCTCTTTCTGTTTTGAAATATTGATTTTGGAAGGTACAGTATTTCTTTCTCTTGTGAAGCCAAGACTCTGGAGAGGAGGAATATTCATGGGAAAGTGCCCGTGAATTTGTGAGAAAGTTTAGATGCGGATTAAAAAGTGCGTCAGTCTTTTTTTAAAAAAAACATGAATTTTTTTTTTAAAAAATCCCTTTTTCTCGGCGCGATCTCTCTCTGAAGGCAATTTCTCACGCTGGGATTTGATTTCACTGCTGCAAATAAATTACGAATGCTGCACATGAAAGCGTGAATGCGGAAGCAGGTTACCGCAAGGCCTGATTCTCGGGCTGAAGTGCAGCAACAACAACAACTTGCATTTATGTAGTACCCTTCGCACCGGGTAGCGTCCTGAAGCACTTAACAATGGCGGAGTCTGACCCCAAGTCAGGGGGAGAGGGAAGTGGGGAGGTGACCGTAAGTACGATCAAAAAGGAAGGACTTTAGGACGGGATTTGAAAGTTCGGAGGGAGGGGGCAAGGCGGAGGGTTTGGGGGAGAGAGTTACAGAGATTCGGGGTGTTGTGATGGTGGAGCAGATGGGGCAAAGTGCTCTTCCTAAAGATAATTATCAAGGTTGCTCTGTACTAAACGAAAGTTGCTTGCAGGGTGGACATTATTTGACAGGGCTGCCTCTGAAGACAATAGCAACTTACATTTGTGTAGTGCCTTTCACGCCGGGAGGACTTCCCAAGGTACTGGACCGTCAGGGATTTGGACCCGAGTTGTGGGTTGGGATCAGGAGGGGTTGAGGGTAGGGGTAGGAGGGTAACCGAAGGCGCGGTCAAAGAGGAGGGTCTTGAGATGTGCCTTGAAGGAGGCAAGGGAGGTAGTGAGGTGAAGGGACTGTGCGGTGGTATTCCAAAGGTTGGGGGGCGCGAGACTGAAGACAAGACCGCTGATGGTTAGGGGGGACGTGGAGCAGGCCGGAACCCACTGAGCAGATCAACGCTTCCTTTCCTGTCCTCTGTACTTTGAGGCAGTGCACTACCCTTTGCGATTCATGTGACTGAACTGACACCTGGGCTTGGAGAGTTTTTGCGAGCATCCAGTTAGGCTTCTACACAAATAGCACCTTGTTCCAAAGAAGAACAAATCAGGAGTGTGTATTAAGGGCTTTGGACATTTTTTGGCATGTTTGCAGAATCACTGGCAAAGCTGTCTATGGACTGTCAGCTATGATGTTATTCCAGCTATGGCTATTATACCATGTGAATGGCTGTGCTTTGACATTTTGTTTTTTTGCATGAATGCCCGCAATTTAGAGGATGATGAAAAGGAGCTGTCTTTGTTGCCAAACGCAGATTCAAATGCAAGGGACAAATTTCCTTTTTTTTTAAGCCATCAACGAACTGTGTCAGTCCTCTGCCTGACTGTCAGCTGCAATTTCCAAACAAAACACAGTTTCGATTAGCTTGCGAGACTTGCCTTCCGTGACCGCCTGCCCGTGCACCTTAACCACTCCACTGAGCTATGCAAGAATTTACATGTTTTTAATCCTATATTTAGAAAGTTTCACTTTTTTTTCTCAGACTCCCCTACTGGCTACAGGGTTGAAGCCTTGTTCATTTTTTTTATCCCCCATTCGTCTGTGCAAAACAATATTTCGCCCACAAAACAGACAGTCAATCCACTCGACGGTATATTCTGTGAAGCGCTTTGATATGCCCCGAAGACGTGAGAAGGGGCTATAATCAAATGCAAGGGTTATTATGATGATTATTAATAGCAGCAAAGCATCTGGACAGATTTGAACCAACGGTTGTTTTTAGGGAGAAGTCGTAGAGGATAAGCTTCTTTACTTTTGAGCTGGGTTTGGCTCAAGACTTGAGATTGGAGGAAACTTGGTTCAGAATGTCTGAAATCTCAGCCACCGACGTTGGGGCAGATTGGGCAGGAGACATGCCGCAGTCCGATAGTAGCCAAGCAGAGGCTGTAGCCTTCAGCTCCCCTCTCGACTCTCTTCCCCCTCCTCGCTCCCTCCCTTCCCTCCCCTCACCCTGACCATTTCCCCCCTGCTCGGGTCATGACCCAACTGTGCAGCGCCTTGGGACGTCCTCCTGACGTGAAAGGCGCTTTATAAATGGAATCTTGTTGTTGTTGTGGTGGTGGTGTTCTCACGCTTGAAGTTTTTCCTCTGATTTATCTGTTGTTCTCTGCAGAATGCTATTATAATAATAATAATAATCCTTGCAATTGATGTACAGTAACACCTTATCACGTCATTGAGACGTCTCAAAGCGCTTCACACGATTTATTGTAAAGTGGATTGACCGTGTATTTTGCGAGTGAAACGTGGCAGTCAATTGCGCAAAACATTGTCCCACAAACAGTCGTGCATTGAGTTGTTTTTTTTGAGTGATTATAAGCGATCTGCCAATAGCCTATCAACCGAGTTCCTTCTCATTACTAGGTAAACAGAGCCGTGTGTGTGTGTAGTGTAAGGAAACTTGCGTACGGTTTCGGCCCCCAGGAATCGAAACCGGGTCCTCTTGCTTGCAAGACAAACGTGCTAACCACTCTGCTGTGGGATTCCCGGATCATTTACCTGCCCTGTTATTGTGTCAGCTGTTTTTCTTTTGCTTTTGTGCCTCTTGAATTCCTGTGTTCTGAATCTTCAGTTTTGGCCGTCAACGTTTCTCCTTATTGAGATTTATTTTTCTTTGAGTTTTGGCAGACATGCTGAACATTGAGTACAGTATCTTGTTACTGTTTGTTTCAGTGTGGAGCTGGAATATTGGTCTCCCAACTAGGAGATCAGTGTTAACTTATAATAATAATAATCCTTACATTTGATATAGTGCTTTTCACGTCGGGAGGACGTCCCAAAGCGCTTCACAGAACACACTGTAAAGTGAATTGACTGTATATTTGTGGGCGAACGCGGCAGCCAATTGCGCACAGCAATGTCCCACAAACAGTCGTAGATTGAAAACGACCAATTTATTATTGTTTGGGGTTTTTGGAGGGATTATTATTAGGCTCTGTGTGGAGTAAGGAAACTTGCCCAAGGTTTCGCCCTCTGCCTGGAATTGAACTCAGGTCTCTCACTTGCAAAGCGAGTGCTCTAACCACTGAGCTACAGGACTCCACATGACCCATGTCTTGAAAAAATGTTCTGTGGTGGGGAGTAGAGGGGGAGAAGTTGGGAAGGCATTTACCAATCAAACTGAGCAAGTTTCCAGCGCCATTGCCAAAAAATTGTTGTTCATTGACTCCCGTGGGATTTGAATTTAAGGAGCTTCGCAGACATAGGAGAAGAGGAGTGAGAGATATGAACCTAGGGAAGAAGGGAATATATGTTATTATAATAATAATAATCCTTGCATTTGATATAGGACCTTATCACGTAGTTGATACGTCTCTAAGCGCTTCACTGAATGTACTTAATATGAATTGACTGTACATTTTGTGGGAGTAAAACACCGCAGCCAATTGCGCACAGTTTGTTGTGTCCCACAAACAGTTATGGATTGAGTGAATAAATTATTATTTATTTATTTTTTGAAGGGTTTATTACCCCTGGAAAGTGATCCGCTAATAGCCTAACAACCGGGTTCCTACTTACTGCTAGGTAAACAGAGGCGTGTGGAGTAAGGAAACTTGCCTAAGATTTCATCCCACCCGGTTTCAATCAAACCCGGGTCCTCTCATTTGCAAGGCGAGCGCTCTAACCAATACACTGCAGGACTCCAGTCTAGGTGAATTCATGTGAATTTTAAATGTCACAATACATATTTCCATATTTCAGTTGACGTGGTCAATGTGTTTTTGCTTACAGGGAATAAGTGCGTTCTTGGTTCCGATGCCTACCCCAGGGCTATCCCTCGGGAAGAAAGAAGATAAATTGGGAATTAGAGCATCATCCACTGCAAACCTCATCTTCGATGACTGCAGAATCCCAAAGGAAAACATACTGGGCAATCCAGGCTTAGGCTTTAAAATAGCCATGGTATGTGAGTACCCTATCATATCTGTAATCTATATCGGAATGAGCATGATGCATTAGTACCTTTATAATCTACATTTTTTTGTTAAGAAAAATAGACACACCTCTGTTAAGAGCTAAATAAACCGACAACACACTACCGATCGAACACACTTACCTAGATTCATATGAATGTTTGGGGGTAGGGGGCTGCTTCTTGATGGCCCTGTGGGGCTATACTGCACTAAGCACTGCAAAGGTACATGCATAATTCCATGACTGTCTGATGTCGAGCCATTTTAAATAATAATCAATCTGCCTCTCGTCATGCTCGGAGAAGCACGACAGCGATTTCTCAAGTTACTACAAATTGATTGAGAGCGTTGGAATCTGTCGGTTAGCAATTTATCTGGACCTTGAACAAACATGAGCAGCATCAATCATGATATGCTGCTTTAAAAGGCTCAGTTCAGTACCGTTAGCCATTAGTACACAATCCCTGCTGTTGGTTCTCCTCAGGTTTTACAAACCTTCTCATTACTCAGATAGCTATCAGGTGCAACCGAGGTTTCTCACACGAGTGCAGTCAGTGTTGAGTTTTGTGGACGTTACAGACTGCTGTCCACTTTTATCCAGTGAATGCTCTTGCATCAGTGTGTGGTTTGCCATTGACCACCTGATCTCTGCTGTGTCGCTGTAGGAAGCTGTTCAGTGGAGCCTGGGCGCCTTTCCTTAAAGAGAGTGATGTACAATTCAGAATGTGATCGACAACTTAAATGAATGTCATGGCATTGGAAGAAGCGTGTGTGGGGACGGGGGGGTGGGGGTGTTCTCCCTTTCTCTCTCTCGTCCTTTTGGAAAAAGGCAAAGCGTGCAAGGTAGCGCTTTGAGATGTCCTCCAGATGTGAAAGGCGCTATACCAAATTCAAGGCTTATTATTAGGGGAATATTGTGCCATTTTAAGGGTTTCTCAAAGCATTCATTTGAGTTCTCTCTGTACCCGAGGGGCTGTCATATAGCATAGTGGTAGAGGAGAAGCCAGTAAGAATTGGAGTGAATAATAATAATAATAATCATCCTTGAATTTGATATAGCGTCTTATTACGTCCTCGAGACGTCTCAAAGCTCTTCACAGAGTATACTGTAAAGTGAATCGACTGTATATTTTGTGTAATGAAAAGCGGCAGCCAATTGCTTCAGATATGACCAACGCACAGCTTATATTAATAGGAAATCCCCTCTTGATTGCGTCACCTGCTTCTGTATGAGTGTGTGTGTGACCTTTAAGAATCAGCTACAGAGGATGGGGAAAAAGGCAGGTTAGGGGGACTGAAAGGATTGCTCTTGAGGGAGTCGATACAGACGCGATGGACTGGATGGTCGTCTGCGCTGTAAATTTCTCACGTTCTGTGGTCCTGTGGAATGCAGCTGACATGGAGGCTTTAAAGCTTTATAATTGATGAAATGGCAAAATAGTTTTGTCATTTTCTCCCATTAACTTTACCGTCTTTGCACATTTCTGTTTCAATTTTGTCTTCCAATTTAGTTTTCTGTTACTGTTCCACTTACGGTCATACGTTTTATTAAATTCTCTCACTTTTCCCCCATTCACGTCTACGTAGCGAGGCATCTGTCAAGGGAGAAGTAATGGTTCCCAATTATGAAAGGAACAAAGAGAAGCTAGTATTTAAAAAAATAACATGGAAAATGCACTGAATGGGTCATTTGTGAGTCAGTAAATGAGCTTGAACAACCTGTCAGACCTGGGTAATGAGTGCTTAAAAGAGGGAGAGAAAGTGACTTTGGAATAACAAAGATCTGGCCGTAAAGAGAATGAAAATCACTCGGACCCAACACTGAAAGCGGGGACGTCAACTCCAACGCTAAAAACAACAACAACAACAACAACAAGATTCCATTTATAGAGCGCCTTTCACGTCAGGAGGACGTCCCAAGGCGCTGCACAGTTGGGTCATGACCCGAGCAGGGGGGAAATGGTCAGGGTGAGGGGAGGGAAGGGAGGGAGAGAGGAGGGGGGAAATGGTCAGGGTGAGGGAGGGAAGGGAGGGAGCGAGGAGGGGGAAATGGTCAGGGTGAGGGGAGGGAAGGGAGGGAGCGAGGAGGAGGAAGAGAGTCGAGAGGGGAGCTGAAGGCACGGTCAAAGAGAAAGGTTTTGAGACCGGCCTTGAAGGAGGAAAGGGAGGAAGCAAGGCGAAGGCACTGGGGGATGGAGTTCCAGAGCCTCGGGGCTGAGAGGCTGAAGGCCCGACCACCGATAGTAGGGCGGTTGGGGCGGGGGACGTGGAGCAGACCGGAGCCAGAGGAACGGAGGGTACGGGCAGGTAGGTAGGGGGATAGTAGGTTGGAGAGGTAGGAGGGAGCAAGGCCGTGAATGGCCTTGTAGGTGAGGATGAGGATCTTGAAATCAATCCTCTGGGGATGGGGAGCCAGTGGAGGCGAGCGAGGGTAGGAGTGATGTGGTCCCGAAGCCTGGTGCGGGACAGTACACGAGCTGCAGAGTTCTGAATGACCTGCAGCTTGTGGAGGGAGGTGGCGGGAAGGCCGGCGAGGAGAGAGTTCCCATAGTCCAGCCTTGAGGTGACAAAGGCGTGAACCAGGGTTTCAGCAGCGTGAGGGGTGAGGTAGTGCCGTAATCTGGCGATATTCCGGAGGTGATGGAAGGCGGTGCCAGTTGTGGTGCGGATGTGAGGGAGAAAGGACAGCTCAGGGTCGAACAAAACGCCGAGGTTCCTGACTGGCTTTGAGAGGTGGAGAGTGCAGCCTTGGATGCTGATGGTGTCAGCGCCTGAGGTGCGGAGGCGCTGACGTGAGCCAATCAGGAGGGCCTCGGTTTTTCGCACGTTGAGCTGAAGAAAGTTGTCTCTCGTCCAGGACTCGATGTCGGACAGGCAGGCTGTCAGGACATCGGTGGTCGTGGAGTTGAGAGTAGAGGAGGAAAGGTAGAGTTGGGTGTCATCCGCATACATGTGGAAGTTAACCCCATGTTTGCGGATGATGTCACCGAGGGGGAGCATATAGAGGGTGAAGAGGAGGGGACCGAGGACAGAGCCCTGAGGGACACCACATGAGACAGTACGGGGGGTGGAGGAGAAGCCATTCGTTGAGACGAAGTGAAGACGGTGGGAAAGGTAAGAGCTAAACCATTCAAGGACAGTGCCTTGAAGGTTGAGGTGGGAGGACAAGCGGTGGAGTAGGATAGCGTGGTCGACCGTATCGAATGCTGCCGATAGGTCGAGGAGGACGAGGAGACAGAGGGAGCCCTGGTCACAGATAGTCAGGATATCATTGGTGACCTTGACCAGGGCAGTTTCTGTGCTATGAGCAGCACGGAAACCTGACTGAAGGGGTTCAAAAAGAGAATGGGTGGAGAGGAAAGAGCGCAGTTGGGAGGCGACAACTCTTTCCAAGACCTTGGAGAGAAAGGGGAGGTTGGAGATGGGCCGGTAGCTTGATAGCTGCGACGCATCAAGGGAGGGTTTTTTCAGGGTGGGCGTGATGATGGCAGTTTTTAATGGAATGGGGACAGAGCCAGAGGAGAGGGACAGGTTTATGATGTCAGTGATGTGTGGGGCAAGAAAATGGAGCTGGGAGATAAGGAGTGGAGTGGGGATGGGGTCAAGGGAGCAGGTGGTTGGTTTTAGGGATAGGATGAGTTCAGTGACAGAGGGTGGGGAAACGGGTACGAAGGTGTGTAGGGGAGGATGGGTAGGAGTCGGAGTGTGGGAGGGAAGGGGTGGGTGGTGGGTGGAAGTTGGAGGGGAAGTGACCGCGGAGCGGATTCCCTTGATCTTGGATTCAAGGAAATCCAGCATCTCCTCGCAGTGAAGGTTGGAGGAGATGACCTGCGCGGGGTGGCGGGGGGGACGGAGGAGTCGGGATGTGGTGGAAAACAGTAGCCTGGGGTTGTTCTTCGCCTCCAGGATTATCCTGGAGTAGAAGGACGACTTGGCCGAGGCTAGAGTGGAGCGGTAAATTTTGAGGAGGTCCAGCCAGATTTGTCGGTGGACCGTTAGGCCAGATTTGACACAGGTGCGTTCAGCAGCCCGCACCTGGCATTTCAGTGAGCGGAGGTGGGTGGTGTACCAGGGGGAGGAGCGGGAGTAGGAGACAGTGCGGGAAGTGATGGGGGCAAGAGTATCGAGTGTGGAGGAGAGGATATTGTGGAGGAGGGAGAGAGGAGAAGAGGGGTCGGTGAGGGTTGAAGGCCAGAGGGAGAGGAGTTCAGAGGACTCCAAGGCATCGGTTAGGGATTGTGGGGGTAACTTCTTCCAAGGGCGGTAGAAGATGGTGGTGGGTCTGGTGGAGGTGGGGAGGGGGGTGGAGGTGGTGAAGGAGATGAAGTAGTGGTCAGAGATGGCCTTGTCGGTAATAGTGACATCCGAGACACTGAGGCCCCGGGTGATCACCAAATCGAGTGGGTGGCCGTGACTGTGAGTGGGGGAGTTTATGTGTAGGGAAAGGTTGAGTGAGGAGAGCAGGGAAGAGAAGTCTGTGGAGATGGAGCAGGAGGGGGTGAAGTGTAGGTTAAAGTCGCCCAGGATGATGAGGCGATCAGAGGAGAGGCAAAGAGATGTGAGGAGTGTTGAAATGTCAGAGATGAAGGTGGGAGAGGTTTTAGGGGGCCGGTAGAGGAGGAGGATTTTAAGGGAGAGGAATGAGGGGTGGGAGAGGGTGAGGTGCTCGAAGGAGGGGAAAGAGCCAGAGGAGTAGGGGGATAGGGCAAGTGGTGTCCTTGAGATAAGGGCAACACCACCGCCACGGCGGTTGGGGCGGGGGATGTGGTGGGAGGTGTAGCCGGGTGGCGTGGCCTCCGTGAGGGGGAAGGTGTCGCCTGGGGTGAGCCACGTTTCTGTCAAGGCCATGATATCAACGTTCTCATCAAGGATGAGATCGTTGATGACCAGGGCCTTGTTGCAGAGGGAGCGGACATTTTGCAGTCCGATGTGGAGGGAGCGGTTGACAGAAGGGTGTGTGGGAGGGGAGGGGGGTCCAGGTTGTGAGGC